CAGCCAATGAAACTAAATATAATCATAGTATACATTTTATAAAATTTACCTGTTGGTTATACATATATGGATGTTGTGCCATTGGAGGAGCTGGCGCGGACAAGCCAGCTGACGGATCTAATAATCTCTTTGGTTTCCCTGTCGAGATGAACAATTTATATTTATATAAAATGAAAGCAACGACAATAAAATTAGTTTAATCATACGCTATTTGACAGTGATAATAAAATTAACATTCTTATTCTTATTACATTAGACTGGACGATGACAAAGCTAATAAATTTTATCCATGTGCTGTTTGAAATACAGGAATTATTTCTCTGTTCTTTGCAGCTGAACTTTTAGTATTTTCCTCGTTTTTTATTTCCTTCTAATTATATGCCTATTTCTTTTTAAGTACAGAAAGTATTCTTCGTAGTGCAGCTGTAAAGAACAGACCTATTACACGTAAACCGATATTACTCGTTAAAACTAACCCATGCAACCAAGCTATTCCGCGCTACATCGTTTCTATAAGAAAAGGTTATAGGATATCGTAAATATCGATGATCAAACACACGTAAATGTACACGGAAAACATGGAGCAAGTTTTCACATCTGCCATTCGTAGGTTATTACGCTCACCTCGGCGTGCGTTCGAATGATTGTAATTCATATTTCTACGATTTATATCACGTTCTGGATGCTTCCTCAGCTATTCGGCACAGTAAGCTGGAGTCTTGCTGCGTTTAGACACCGATTACTTGTAAATGATGAAATTAAAAACAATTTGCGCTACAGTCGCTACACCACGTCGCCATGTTTCGCTCTTTCTGTCTGACTGACGTCTGATCGTCATTTATGGAATATTTTACTACGAGATTCACACCAATCACACCGCGACGTCCGCGACGACGAGACGAGCGGGGTTCAATAGAAAGATTTGTTTTCTAGGAACAAAAGCGGCATCTACTAAAATCCCTAGGAGATTCTAATCTCCTATTGGATATCGAACGCATGTCAAACATCGAGTGAAGACCAGACTGTTTTTGGTAAATTCATCGTGCTGTACGTGTATGTATGTATTTGTGTTGGTGTACGTATGTATATACCGTTGGCCGACGTGTCAACACAAATAGTACTCAATGAGAATTTTATTAATTAACAATCAACAATAAGAATAATACAAATTACATCACCATCACCATCGATTAATTCTCCGCTACAGCTTCAGTTTGAGTGCCAGGTTTGTCACCGTCATCACCGTCAGGTTTGTCCGAACGTAGACGTCTTCAAATCTGTCGTATTTCTTCTTGTACTTATGCACATAATTGTTGATAAAAAATATTTTAAACTTAATGTTTTTAGATCACATTTCGATATCCGGTTAATTTAATTTATTATCTCTACGCTTAAATTTTTTATACAAAATACACTACCGTTTGTCAAATTAATGCAATTAACACAAATTTATTATATATTTTTTTTAAGCCGCTGTGTCGTACATATAATATCATCGTTCTTAACGGTTGAGAACATTTATTAAGCGATAAATATATCTACTTTCGACTATTTATTAACTTAAATAAATACAAATATACATATTAAGCTGCAATGTCATGTCTGTCGTTTCACATCATATTTGTTTCATTTAAAACACGTTCACTTTTAGTCATGAAATAAAACAATTACATTTTTATTAATATTAATTAATGTAGAAGTTATAATTATAAAGTAAGTAAAATGCTGCATTTCAAAGATGTTATGATTTAATATAAAATGAAATGTTGAATATATATAGATTTATATCTGCATTAATAAAAGTTTTATATGTGGGTTTGTTTAACACTTTAGTAAATGTTAAATGCTTAATGATAATTAGACATAGCAGTAAGATAAATATCTTTTATGAAAAATTATAATGAGAAATATCACGAAATATATGAATAATGACGTTGATGAAGTAGATTATAGTAGAAGAACACGAGAAGAGAATAATTGGAATAATCAGTCTTTGACAGAATTCATCTTCAGCTCTCGTTCACATATATATGTGATATTCTACGCTGTCTTCTAGCATGTGTAACACAAATACATAAATAATCTGCAAACTATCGGAGGGATACGCTATGTTTTACACAACCAATGTTGGCGTTGCGTCCGCAACGAAGATATTAAGCGTCGAGAACAGACGCGTAGCGAGTAGCGAGTGCGGCGGACGTACGATGACGAGATTGTTCGAAAGCAGTCGCTTTAAAGACCGGAAGCGGAATCCAATAGACTGCCGTCTACAATTGGACTTATTGCCACCGTCACCGAGTTATCGTAGTAACCGCTCGATAATAGTCGTACCGCTGTTATGTCGTACGCTACGAGCTCCTTTATATCTGAAATCAAAACATTTATTTTTTATTGTAGGCAAAATATTCTATATGTATACATTGCAGTATTCTTCATATCATATATACGTATAAGCACATGAATTTATACAAGTTGCAAAAATGACGACATATGAATGTCATATGAATGAAATTATAACGTCGCTCTATTCAGCGAGTCAGCACTTTAAATTGTGACTCGTTGATTCCGTGCATGAAAGATTCATTACCGGGTTTGGAATCAATGCCGCAGAAGGAGTCAATTACGTCGAGTTTCGTCGTATCGAAACCGTGGCTGCCTCCAATCTGCACTCGATCCCGCGGACTCCTCACATCGCACTGAAAATAAACCGATTACATCCCAATAAATATTGTATATCGAAACAAAAATAGCCATAACGAAAAAGCGCATAAAAGTTTTTCGATATAAAAAACAGTTTGACTCTCGTGAAAAAAGTTTATTCTTTTTTATCTCCAATTGAAAGATCCTTTTTGAGATGAAAAGACCAATTTTTGAAATAAAGCTTGGTTATTTTAAATAGAAAGCGGATAAGAATTCTTAATTCCATGCAGACTAATCAATCATGATGGTTGGATTATCATTAAACTCGATTTTTGAATTTCATATATAGTATAAATAAATAAAAAATCGTGATTTCAGCGACATAACTGTCTTAATTTCACTATATGAAACATATTAATGTTTAGGCGTAAGAGGACAACGATTATGGATCGTGACGTAAAGAAAAAGATTTTACAACGTACTTTGCGTAAAGTGCCGGTTTCGCTTGTGTGAACGACACCATGCGAGCTGCTACCGCCGATTCCGAGGGCAATTATTCGTACGGCACCAGGATACACTGCCACGAGGGTGCAATTAATCCGTCTGCCATAATTGCGAAGCGTGAATGGATCAGTCGTGCTGACCGACAAGACATTGCAGGCTGAAAAGCAAAAAAAAGAAAACACAAAAGTCTAAAGTACGCGTTCAATCAGAATCAGCTGAAAATAGTTTGTATTTGTTATTTAACTTTTAATAATACTTTCGCGCGTTCCTGTCAATATATTAATTCATTCTTCGTAAGTAGTCACACTTGTTTTTCTACCTAAGGGTGCGTTCGTATAGAACTTGCTATATTAGCGCTATTGCGTCATTCTATCTTTATCACTCATTAGGTGTAAAACAAGGATAGAATGACGCAATAGCGCTAATAGCAAGTTCCTTGAACGCAGCCTAAATATTTGTTTGCGGAAGTAAACTGGTTCATAAAAAAATATAGCTTTTATTAAACCGTTATATTTTCTCGTGTCATTCTTCTCTATCTTTACTTAAAAAGGAAGTATGATGGAAGACATCCCGTTTCCTAGAATTAGACCTGACACGTTCTCATTTACGAGCGTTCTAATTTACGTCTGGTTCATCTGTCGCAGAAATGGATGAAATGGATTAGGTGGATCTAATCAGAGTCTGATCTATAGGATATCTAGGACGTTGAGACAATATTCAAGTTTAGAATAGCGTGAAGCCTGTACTTGTATGATGTAATCGAATTACAAGACTAAAACGATGAATGGCTGTGGATTTGCAATGTTAATGCATTATGACCATTTCATGTAGAACAGGTAACATCGATTTTCCAACGTTCATTATTCCGAATTTTAATGATACATATCCGACTTTCGTTAATCGTAGGAAGTTCAGAATTATTAATGTATTATACTCAATATAGAATTAAATACTGTCAATTGAAAGAAATTATTGGAAAATTTATATTATTAGAAATAATACATTTTATTTTAATTCAACGCTAAAAATAAAATGTTATTTTATATTGTATAAAGGCTCAATTATTAAGATATAATTAGTAATCTAATTAATGTAATCTAAATAAAATGCAAACAAACATAAAAGTAACATCTCGTGTAACGAAATCCTTATATTCTATTAATCATTTGATGATCTTTCTTTTCTTTTTTATTTTTACATTTGTTTAAAAATGTAAGAAAACTGTAGATTATATTCTTTTATAGAGACATATATATATATATATATATATATATATATATATATATTATATAAAAAAAATATATATATATTTGTGATATATATATATATATATATATATATATATATATATATATCTAACATTTGTATAAAAAAGTCAAAAAAAGTTAAGTTAAGCTTTTTTTCCAAAATTTATGTCATGTTCGAGCAATAATACTTACGTCTTGGATTTTTTGGATATCTTGCGGATACGACAAAGCCCTTTCCACGTAGAGGTATTCTATATTGGAGGAGTGCAGCATTTTGCGAACTTGTAAAAGTCCTCCTGTACCATCTGTTCTTACCGCAGAATTCGCTCGTTCTCTCCTTCATCGATAATGAGTGGTCGCTCTCGCTCGGAAATATTTCGCCGTTCAATTCCCAGCCATCGATTACCTTTTAAATAACGAGTAATTAAAGACTTATATACCTTCTTATCATCAAACGTTATCACTTGATCGTTCAAATAAGAGCGCGTTTTTCAATTTACTAATTTTGTTTTACATATAAAATATTTAAGTAAAGCTATGGTCAAATCTATTTTATTTTCTTTATCTTCATAAATATATAGGTACTTGTAAATATTATAAAAGCATCATATACAATTTTTTATGATTAATATTAAAGTCGCAAAATGTAGTAAAATAAATATTATGCCAATTATTAATATTGCGGTGTAGAATTTTGTAAAGTGCATATGATATAATTTCAGTTTACACAGAAATCTTTATAGTTATATATATTATAATTATACTACAGAGGAATTATAAAAATTATATGCAAGAACTATTTTTAAGGGAAGACGCTATATAGTATTAAATGTTGCACGACACATCCAATAAGAAATATTACAGAAAAAAGAAATCGTCAAAAACCACATTATAGAATTCGAGTTACAATTTCATCCGTGTTAGGATTTAAATTACATTTCGCGAAAACGTGACGAACAAAATTCGCTTCTGATACTATTAAAAGCTTTCTTCTCGTAGTATATTGACTTCTGTGCATTCGCGGCACATGACATGTGCTGCTATCGTAGGATTATCCGGGTTTACCCTACAGGAGTTTTCCATTAATAGCAACAGGGAGAACCGGGGTGAGAGTCGGAAGGGGGGAAACTTCGCGATTCGATTTTTGTCCTGGCACGTGCCCTGCAACAATTCGTTTACGACATTGTTGACGTTGTTTCTTTTAAATAGCTTTCACGATTTCGCTTATTGTTGCCGTTGACGAGCAACCTACTGCAATTTCGCAGTAGAGAGATCTGCGCTTTGCGGGATAATGTATTATATATTTCCCTCTGTTCTACTTTCTTGGAAAGATTCAAGACTTATTTATGACATTTGCAAGAATGTTACAATTTTTCTAATTAATAAACTTCTGCTTGCTATTACTTTGTCAGTGATTCTGAAAAATTTACTTTGTTTAAACATATTATATTATTTTGTATTAATATTCTGCAAATATTTCTTAAACATAAACATTTGCTTAAATAACAAATTCTGGCGTACGATTACAAGATATATGTCTGCTTTTTGAAATAATTCTGTGAAATAAGTTTATTACCCTACAAAACGTGTTTTTATTTTGTGATTTATTTGGAAACAAACTGTAATTTGCTATTTTTATTTGTTATTGTTTCGTTTCGATTGCTATCACAAAGCAGTAAAATTATATTTTTATTATACATAATTGTAAAGTACTACTGGAATGATTATATAAAATAAAATATTTTAATCTTATAATATTTAGATAAAAAAATATTAATCCAATATTTTTTAAAATAAAATTTTGGATTAAAAATTAATATTCTTAGTAATAATTAATGATTACGTACTGCTAAAAGTCCACGGTGATCGCAAGGAACGTCGAAGCTATGGAAATGTATTTCTACTACGCGATCTGGATCGGTCAAAAAGTATATTCCACAAACGTTGTCATCATCGGTCGGCGATATATAAGAGAATGGTCCACTTTCTGAGGTAACAAACATACAGTCTGTAACAGAACATCAACGATATAATTTCAATCATTACTTCCTGCAAATGTTTTTCAACGTACAAAGTTTTTGCAATTATTTTTATCTCGTGATCTGATTTCTGTATATTTCTATATTAATGTTACCTACTATACACGTACACACATTTTGTAAATTATCATAATCAATATTTTATAAAATAAAACAGTGAGAGCTTTAAGTCTTTTTAACATATAACTTCTATATTTTATATCTAAGAATATGTCTCAATAATTAAATACTTAAAGAATTTTATATATGTATAATATGTACATCTTTATGCAAGGTGTCTATAAATTTTCTTATACTATTTTATCTCTGTATAAATACGCTGTAATATTTCAAAATTTATTGATAAAGGTAACAAATATTTGCATGTTAAAATGATACGGTAAAAAAAAGTAAATGTGCGAACGTGGCTTGTTTTATAAAATGTAATCACGCTAAATGCGAAAGATAAAGAAGTCATTAAACGTTAGATTAAAAGTATAATTTTAGTTTTTGCTTAGATAAAATCTGATTTAAATTTCCGTTGGGTTTTAATCGCATTCGGAATGTGATTACACGGTTATTGTGTAATACTCAATGTGCGGAAATTATTTACTAGTTCGGTTACTGTTGCGGAAACTGCGTGGTCCATCCATTAACGCGATTTTGTGCAATAACGTGATTACCGTATCAAACGCCTCAATTACGAAGCTTACGATACGCTTTCGTCGCAAAGCACCAAAACACTTGGATCACATGCATAACTACTTTTAAGCATCTTATAACGTGGATTAACGTGGTTACAAGAAGCTTATTTTAAAATGGAAATTGAGTAGCTTATTAAATGGAATTATATGTTACATTTGTATATATTGAGAAGAAAAATTTTCTGCATTTTAGTAAATATTCGTTTGCATACAACTGTGACCCCATTTACTAAAATAGAGAAAATTTTCCTTTTATTAGTATATTTTATCTTCGTGAATTACACATATACTAATAAAAAGGAAAATTTTCTCCATTTTAGTAAATGGAGTCACAGTTGTATGCAAACTAATATTTACTAAAATGTAGAAAATTTATTTTCAGTGTATAATATCCAATTAAGAAATATTTCAGAAACAGATTTTTAAAAGGCAAAATTGAATGGTGGAAATAATTTTTATATACGCATTTAAAAACAGAATCGCTTTTTAAAATTATTTTTTTATTAAATCTACTGCTACAGAGAAATATATCAAAACACACTTTTACACACTTATACTGTGCTTAAACATATTATATACACAGAAACTATACGAGCTGTCAACTTGTATATTGTTTGCATATTTCTTTCGAACCACGAAAACCAGAAAGCGAGAATAATAAAAGATCGGAAAATAGTTATTCTTTTGTATGTATAAATTATTTTTAAGCAATTAGCAGCAGAAAAAGAAATTACGTGACTTTGCATAATAAACTTTTAATTAATAAATAAATGGATAAATAACTAAAAACTTTCGATAATGGAATTAACAAGTAACAAGTAAAAAGGTGGGTCTTGAGAGTGCAACGCGAACAGACATTCTTTCAATCTTCCAAATTAAAGAACAATTTTTTTTCTGTTTTAGATTATCCTGTCCGCAAACTTACGACACTAGTGGTAAATTACTGGCAAATATTGCTACAAGTTTCAATTACAAGCAAGCGTCGCCGTTGCAGTGTTAGTTGAGCATCGATAGTAATCATCTGTTATCGGGTATACGCAAGCATCTGTTTAAACACACATGGCATGATGTAGGATTACAACGCAAAGATTATGTAGATGTAATATTTCAAATAGTCAGTTTAGGTGAACCATTACTTTAATGCGATCCATTTCTACACAGCGAAAAATAACATTATTTTTCCCAAACTTTTATAATATATAACAATTAAAGTAATAAAATACGCGAAAAAAAGAAATAAAAGTAATCTATTTAAAATATTATTTATATGTTACAACATAATATATTATTTACAATCACATTGTTCGCGCTTACCTGTAATCGGCCGATAATGTTCACGCGGTACCTCGAATGAAGCCTTTCCTCCCGATTCATAACTCAAGATATTGGCAACTGCTTCATTCGTTATCTGAAAAAAAAAAAATATATTATGCAAGACACAGCAGACACACACAAATTGTCAAGTTAATCGATTTAACAAATATTTTTGTTTAAAATCCCGTGTGCACAACGTTAGGCAGCCAACGAAGTGCTGAAGAAGTTTTATGGAAATTGAAAAATGGATTGTCATTTGTATTTCTTCACGCTCGTGCGTGTATGAACGATTATTAAAAATTTGACGCGTCAATATTGCTAATAGTAATGTTATAACGCCGACATCGGTCTAATTAATCTCAATCTTTGCGATACGTGCAACACGCAGCTTATTCCATCTCACACATTCCACGTTTGTATAGGATATATTTTATTTGTAAATGTAAATAGTATATATAGTAAGAGTACATAGCATGCAATATAAAATCGTCTGTTTGTGATTCTTCTACATGTTCAACAATTTTAATTTAGCAATTGCGCTTCGAGTGAAAATATTCTTTAAAAATACATGTACGTGCCATGATGATAACTCTAGCACAATAAAGCAATTTCAGTTAGACGCATTTTATCGTAACACCATTTGTTTATAAATAGAGAATGAAGGACTTATTGTGTATTGAGAAAACTTGATATTTCCTCTTTGGCAACTCAATATACAGAAAGTTTCACGCGTAATATAACGGTCGAAGTTTGTCGAGGTCTAATCTATATTCGTTTTCCTTGCCCTTCTTCGCATTAAGCATTCGAGCAAGTTTATATGCTTTTATATTACTTCACAGTGCAATCGATCATGTTGCTTTTATTGTCTGAGGTGGAATCTTTTATTATGATTTTTAAATCGATGAATGAATAATAATTGCGTGATTACAAAGTACTTAGTAAATATCCGTAATAATAAACTTTGGCTCGAATCAAATGTTATTACTGCTAACAAACACACAATTAAAACGTGACACGATACGAGCATTATGTAACGCAATATTTGCTTGAAAATGCAAATAAATTTCCGTTCAATTAAATCCACTAAACATGTTTGAATAATAATACTTGAAAAAGTCAATCGAAACCCGTTTGTTTTATAATACAAAGAATCTTGTTTTTATATAATTCTCTACACTATCTCGTTTCTGTTAGTTTCACACTCGCCTGTTTGTTGTCAGATCGGAGAATTATGCTGATCATCGCTCTATAAAAAATAACTACGAGAATCTAAACCGCGCTTTTATGTGACCACATTGCAGATACAAAAAAATCCGGTTAAAAAGTCCACCGATAAAAGGAACGGTCGCGGATAGCGGCGTTACGACTTGAACGGGATAGCTCGTACAGCATTTCTCGTTGTTGCGTTTCGTTCGTATGCACAATGCGCATTTGTTATTTCGCGCCGCGGGGCAAAAATCGCGCAAATTGCATTTTCCACCGCGCGGTGTGCCCCGCTTCGCGCGTGTGCGAAACGAAAAATCCGTTATTTAATTAACATTATTTCTCGACTGTCGCTAGCGGATGTGGGAGCCGCTACGAATACCGCGTCCCCACCTGCCAGATAAACCTGTTTCGAGAGTAATTGCCCAAGTCTTGTGTCTGAATGATGGCCCTGGTGCGAATCGCAATACGGGCGCGTTTATCGAACGCGGTACCTAAGATAATTATCGCACATCGTTAATGTGACACACGAGGTCCCCGGTACCGTAATATAGGGTAGTTCGGAGTTTTCGTTCGTTCCTTTTAACCCTCTTTGGATACACAAGGAATTGATGTCGCTATAAAATAAAGCGTCATGCACGTTAGATTAAAACACGTAAGTTCAATTTCATTCTCTCATTTCTGTTTTTAGCTAACATCAATATAAGTATACAGTTCTATATCTTTTCGTCATAGAAATTATATAATCGAACAGCAAAATAATTTAGATTAAAAAAATTCTCTCGCTCGTGTGACTTCTTTTCTGTAAAAATTATAATGAAAACGCGCAAAAGATACAGCTTTACCTATATTATAAAACGCTGTAATAAAGTTGAGCTAATTAAGCTTTCGTCTTTGTGACACGGTACCTTGATGTTGCTTATTTCTGTCTCCTTCTGCAAGAGTGAAAAGAAGTCCAAACCTTAACTAACTAGCTAAGAGTGACTCACTTCTAAGTAGAGAATCAAAACTCATTATAAGTTAGCAAATGACGTCACTTGTAGTACAATTAGAAAGTTCCTAAACCCTCTTAGGTCTCGAAACTCTCTTTTTATCCTTTAATTTATTTTATAATACGATTCACTTGTATTGAATTTTGATTTAAATCTCTCATATTCTTAATTTAACGCTATTCTTTATATTAAAAAATAATTAATTCTTTAATGATTATTTTTATATATTATTAAATATATCTTTAATTTTATTGAAGTTTATTAGTACATATATTGTATATATAAATACCACATAAATATCATATATTAAATATATTTTTGCATTTATCTATAGCTATAAACATTTGAGTTATTGATCGATTGTCGAATAGTAGCAGAAAAATATAGCAAAATCTAAGATAATTAAGAAATTCATTTTCTTAATTAAGAAAGAGTTTTTTAATTGCGGAAGGAGCCTACGCGCGCGCGGTATACCGTGGTCTCTTGCAAAAGTAATTTTATTTTCACCAAGTTTGTTACGCTAAAATTCTTAAATAAATTATTTCTTCGAATCAGTTTCTTTTTATAAAAGAAAAGAAATAAAAACGGAAAATAATTAAATCATAAGTGTATGTGTAGAGATTTTGAGAGATCTTGTTAATATAAATTATTAAAGAAACTTTTTAATCAAGATAATTACAATACACTCAAGTAAATCACAATATTTCATTTAATCTAATTGTCATTTTTTAATCACTGCTTGCCGTGCATACATAAATAAAGATATCGTTTTAATAGTTTAAAAACATCGCAATTTATTCTCATTTAGAGATACTTCAATATCACATTTATTCTAATCACAATTATCTTGCCTGTTATCCTTAATTCAATCATTGTTAATTCAAGAATTAACCGGACGCAATAAAAGTCATGAAAATTGTAACATAGTACAATCAAGATGAATAATCGTCTACTTGTTTGTGTGACACGCAAATAAAGATAATATTAAAATATTTTTCGATAGTAATATATGGATAGTAATTATCATATATAAAATTTTTCAACTAAGTACTAATATACAGCTTGATAAGTGTTAAAAAATGATTTGTAAATTCCAATTATATCTCATCTCTTATTAAAAATATTGTTAATCTCTTTTCGTTACAGTATTACGATTATTCGGATTAACACCTCGCGTATAATTGCATTTTCAATTTTACATCTTCTAATAGTATTTTCAAGAATATATTGCTTCAAATTATATGGTTTATACATGTTTCATTTTATATATGTTGTATCTTAAATTTCAATATTTTAATCAAGTTTCTTCAAGATATTACACACTTTAATCTACAAGCAAATGATATATTCAAGCGATGCATTTACCTGTTGCTGACGGTGATCGTTGCCGATTGCTGCTTTCGCAACGTGAAACGTTGCACCAACGACGACGACAATGATGATAACCAGGAGGATCGAGGTTGAAATCGACTTGGAGAACATCTCTCACTGACGGCGAGCGGCGAGATCAGGAAGAGACGGAAACAGGCGACAACGCGAGCCGAGTAAGAACTGGAGAGCTTCTCCCTCGCGGCTGGATCGGTTGGATTGGCTGGATCGGCCTCCCTCGCCTTTCGATCGTTGGGGAGAGATCGAAGTGGCGGCACGAGAGATCGTGGGGGTTGCGGGTTGTGGGTTGCGGCGAGCTCGGGTCGAGCGCGGCAGGTGTTCTGATGGCGTCGCGACGCACGGCGTCCCTCTTATAGCGGCTAGACCGCACGGTCCGCACCTCGCACAGCCTCCTCGCCACTCTCGCCAGCCTTTTCGTCCTAGCTGCGCGCAACCCTCGAGCCCCGAGCCTCATTGTTACGCGCTCCACGACGCTCTTTACACGGTGAATTTGGAGACAGGAATATAATGTGCGCTTTGTCCGCTCCAGGAGGACAAAAGTGTTCCACTCGAGCGTTTTCGTCATTTATATATATATATATATAAAATATATATGACATTTTTATATGAAACAACTTTTTAGAAAATCGATATTTCATTAAAAATTTTACTGCCCCAGAAGAGAATGTCCGTTCTTTACAAATTCGTTAGTAGTATACATAACGGTACTTGAACATTTTTTCTTAAGACCGTCTTCGAGAGAGAGTTTCAGGAGGAAAATTTTTTCATTCTCTTGATCAGTGTGATAGAAGATTTAATAATACAATTTAAATACAATAATAAGTATAATAAATTAATAATCCGAGATGCACAAACTTCTTCTTTCTTTCTCTTTTTTTATTTCAAACCTCAACAAATTTGTATTTGCTGTATCATTGATTATCGAAATTTATGATGCATATTTCGATGTATCTAAGCTTTGCGCGTATCGCAAGCGAATGTCAAAGGGACAACAAGAATTATCGACAGATTCTTTTGCAGATGCGAAAATCACTATCGCAGCTCGCAGCGTTCCGCGTCAACAGCTATATATCGTATCGTTGGAGAGAGAACGGGTTGACATTTTAAATGTTCTTCGTTATTAATGTTTACAACGATGTTCGTCATCATGCACGCGTGTGTGCATGCAGCATGCGCATGTCAAAGTATGTAGTCAGAGCACCCGGCAGGAATACAGGATGTGCGCGTCATTCTGTCAGCAAGATGGACGTTAAACGATATCGCTCGATTAGCGCACTTTACCCTAGATATATATATATATATATTATATCTCTCTCTTTTGTCCCGACATTATCTCGTCCGGCTTTAATTTCAAAGTCGTAATCGAGATCGATGATGGTGGCGAGGAGTCGTCGCCCAGTCGTGGCTCATGGCAAAGTCCGTAAGCTTTACAAATGATTTTCCCCGTAACGAAAACACTAAGAAAAGGTGCATTATTACGTTTTCTTTACGCTCGAGCTAGGAGTGTAATTGAATGCGAACAAGGTCCGTGACGAAAACCGTTATAATTGTAATGAACGTATAATCACGTGACCGATGAGGACCCAAGGCAAGATCGAAACTAATATTTTAAACAAGTATACGCCGCGAATATTATAGCTGTAAATAATCATGCACCGTGAAAATATTGTGTCGCGTAAACATTTGCCGCTTTATAGCGATCTTGGTTAAAATAATGTATAAATGCAATTAATCTTATGTAACATATAACGGACGGCCGCTAGCCGTGCTTGATAGATAAATGTTCAAACCAATCAAAACTCGCATGAAATATACACGTCGGAAATAAATTCTGTTAAATCAATTTATAGAGTAATAATGTATTATATTATTTTATACAATCACAGAAATAAGCATTGACACAAGACTGATAATCTCTCATTTATTAATGGATTTACCCTCTATACGCAAAAACACATAAATTAAACCCTGAAGCAAAGATCAATATCTCAATACAGACTTCGGTTTTTTTATACACGATTGAACCAAGATAGTCTATAGACGTCAAAATCGATCGCTCTGCTTGACGGTATCTATTTAGATGTAAATGATGGACATTGTGTAAGCATGCTTTCCCATAGAAGTTAACTACGAAATGCGACGTATCTCCGACGACATTCGTGATGAATAAATAACCGCACAATTTACCGCACCAAATGCGATTGTCACCAAATTGCGGTAGATTATAACGTGAATGCCAATGTTTAACATACAATTTATATAACTGCCATCTGCCATTAGAATTATCGTGGCATCTGACGAGAGAATTCGTGCAATCAAACGATATCAGTTATTAATATTATTATCCATGATTGATGCGTCGCGATATTTGTACTTTGAGCGTCGTCCATGTAAATCCGAAAAAGAATTATTATTTTAAAACATGCGTATGCGCACGGTACTCGGAGGCACTTTAAGTGGCCGTTTGCGTGCGTGCATTCCTAGAAAAAAAAATGATCTTTTTTTTTCACAATCAGATGTGTAGACAACGCTCTTATGACAGACTGTATCCTCGTGCGAGATTCGTATGTCAGAACAAAACAGACCGGACTCTCATGTTTACGATTAAACGATGGTCACGAGGATGGGAACAAACTGCAAATAATACAGTCTATTTATGGGTCTATCAGTAATACAATTGCCGATTTGCAATTCTACCGCGGCAGATAAATCAACATGTGGGTGCCGGCGACCTAAAAATCTACAAATTTGTAAATACTTTCAAATATCGATCCTTTGCGCGCGTGATGATAAATTTATACAATTAATAACAATTATCTATGAAAATGGAGTTTTATTGAGACTATATAAAAAAAATTTAGAAGAGAAAAATATTTCACTGGATCAAAGATGTTTTCGAAGTTTGTCGGCGGATAACTCGAGTACGCCTTTCTATTATACGCTGTATGATAAATAGCGTAAGACGAAATGAAAATTGTAAACCGCTTTGCATGATCAAACAGCTTACGGTAAAATGTAGGGCGATGAGTAAAACGTCTCGAAGGAAAAACAGAGCAGCAAATCGCTATACGTGATCATTAATAAAATTCAAGAGCAATGCCATGAATAATTCAACTTCAGGAAACAATCCCGATTGTGCTGTCTCGTTTTGCCGCTTATATTTATATCGATGAAAGTACAATGCGCGTCGCGTTGGAACTTTCCTAAATGACTTGTACTTGAAACGTTCCACTAAGAACTAAGGCGAAGACTTAAGGACGCGGAGGTATACCGGAGTATACCGGATAATGTTCTTCCTCAAACACCTGATGACTCCTGTCATGCCAAGCGTCCGGGACATGATGGTATAATCCATAATTGACGCCACTGGTGGCTATCTTTTTCAGGCCTTGTATGCTAGACAGTATAAGGGCCATTTTGGCGAGAATCAGAGCCTTACCGCCCAACACCGCGAGGAATTGAAAACCCATCGGCACTAGGATCGAACCCATCAATAGCAGGCCCATCATCATCAACGGGAACATGTAATTTCTACGACGTTGGCGTTTTCGACCTAAGGGATGCAAATTAATTTTAAGTTTCACAGTTTATTATGCTGTAATCCACGTTACGACTCACCTTGAACGACATTATTGTCCGAATTTCGCGCGGATGCTTTAGCAGCTGTATTAAATATATGATCGACGTCAATTTTGAAAGCGTGAGTCCGTAGGACGCGTGTCATTCGATTCCAAATGATCGCCGACCAGCTGATGTCCTCCTCTTCCGACCCATCGAAATTATCTCTGTCGAGAATCGCTGCGCGTGTTTTAATCGCAAATATAATTTTATTCGAAGAGTTTGCAACAACATGCGCGATATGCCGATTTAAACGTAATATTATAAATTTTGCGAATGAAGAACAGTCGTACGTATTGATTTAATATTTCTTTTTTTACAATCTCTTTAGGATTCGTTTCGCAAAATTAGTTTCGAAAAAAATACGTAAATTTTTACGTGCAATTGCATCCGCAAATTGACATTACCAGCTATAATTACAAAATCATACGCAATATTTCCTTCATGTCGCTCGGTATTGTTGTTCCAAACCCTTATTATTTACGTAGTTAATTGTATAAAGTAGTATTTCTTAATGTATGATATCCATATCTAAAAGTAATTTCGAAAAAGCAAAAGCGTGCCGAAAATACATATAATAATAGATGCTTTTCTCTCTTCTCTCATATTTTCCATTATTATCAAAGATAATTGAAAGTTTTGAGTACAAGGCTGAACTTTAAGCACGCGGTAGATAACGCATTCTTCCGCGAAATTCAACGAATTCTAATATAACAAATTACAATGTTACTGTAGCAAACTTCGATGCATACTAATTTATTGCAGCAAGCTCCGATGAAATTCCAGCTCCCTTGACAATATCTCCCTGATTCGCATACCTTTAGCCTTGAACCTTTATCGGGCAGAATTCTATTTCTGATCTACTTCCCTACTGCGCCTATTTGTTCTCTCTTTCTCTTCCTCTCTTTAATTAGATAATTATAGATTATAAAAATCAACTTACTTATACTCCGTATTGTTTTCATCGTTTGGACGAAGTCGTATTAAATCGACTCCGTCGTATATCGTAATAACATCGTCGTCGAGGAGGGTATCTAAGGTGTCGATAGCTCTCTGCTGCACACATTTTCTAAAAATATCCAATAATTCATCCTGGTCGGAGCTATTCTGGGACAGCGATGGGCAATTCTTGATTATGGACCGTAATCCAGAGTACCATTTTGTTTTATCGTCACAGCCGGCCCTTACGACCGCAGTCAGTGTGAGGGCAAGGACATGGAAAGCACGAGGGTGCATCTGTATTTAAACGCATACAAGCCTCTCAGGATCAACGATATCAATGTGGGTTAGTGACGCAGTTCTAGCTACATTTCTTCTCTTTCTCTTTGTTCTTTTTACATGGTGTTCCTGACTAAAAATTAACTTTATTCGTTTTAAACTGTACACTTTTTTCGAGCTAAAGAAAAAAATTCTGTGAACAATTTCAAATTCCTCTTTTAGCAAAAATGTGAAAATTGGCAAAAGAATACATATATAGTTTGAAGAAAATAAGAGACACTGTTTCATGTGAATGCTGAACAAATATTTCTAAATTTACTTTAACGAACAAAATTTAAAAAGTTCAGAATCGAAGAAAAAAAGTTAAAAAAAAAAAAAAAGTTTTCCGAAATTGCATTACTACCATGAAAAGGTACTTTTGTCTTTAAATTAAAAATATGTATTTAAGATTTTTATTATCTCTTTTGTTTTTCGAAAATAGAGATTATTTGTAAGTAATATCTGATGAACAAAAAAATGTTATCAACAATATCAACTTCAAAACTGTAATCAAGTTCAAAAATATTCTGAAACAAATATTTAAATTCAAATAAAATCCATCAGAAGAAGTATTAATAACATTTACGATGTTTGCACGTGTTCTACTTTCTTCCCCTATTTTCTTATCTTTTATTCCGTCGACAATTTCATCTATGTCAGTAATACTATTATATATTTTACTTATTTTCTTCTTCGATTTCTTAAATATATGCGCGTAAATTGTTAAATGACAAAATAAAAGTACAGCAACAAAGATATGCACTTCATTTAAAAAAAGATATATATAAACTCGGAAGTGATGGAAAGCATGTACAATTCAATCATTCTGCTATCAAAAATTTATCATAAAAATTTTTCACGGCATTTAATTGCTTATAATAATGTATTTTGCAAAAATATTATTTTTGAATTGACACAAATATAATTTTAATTTTTCTCTACATTTATTTCTGTAATTAACAGTATTATTAATTAATCTGCCTAATCATTAATCCGGTACCTAATAATAATTAAAAAGAAATTTCTCATACTTATCTTTTATCACATATTATTTATTGAATTTTTATATTCTATTAAAAATGTGTGACGTACTCGAGCAAATTAAGAAAAATGGTAGATAAAAAGTTTTCAGAAGAACAATCTGAAAAGACTGAGACCGCTCCAAATTCACGTAAATATCCATAGATAGCTTTACCTGGAAAAATCTGCACTCCTCCGGAGACCTCTTCACGAACGGACACGTCGCGGTGCACTGCGAAAGACGGTCGTGCGGGTAGTGCATTGCGTACACTTATACGTGCAGAAAATAGACTATGATGCCGTGCAGGTAGTCATTACGAGTCATCGAAGGGCATCAAGGTAGCGGTCAAAAGGCGGCCGGACTTAACGCTCGACCGACCATTCTCCGCAATCGTTGGCAAAAACTATGTTAATGCCTACTATATGATCACCCGGATATTACTATTTTCTTCCCGATGATGGATATAATTAATCGATTTCCGTCGCAGAAAAAGTATTTCAATGATAATTACCCTTGCGAATATATTTACGAAAGTTTTAGAGAAACTCTGCGAAAAAAGTAGACAATTTAAAAATGATCAATGTCTAAATAAAAAAAGATTAAGCATTTCTATTCATAATTTTTTAGATCAGTTTGAATTCTGCATTGCTACGTTGGATACACAAAATCCCGAAATCCATAAATTTGAAAAATAAGACAACTGCTCAAAAATATATAAAAAATGCCACACTGCACACAATGACATATAAATGAAATTTATATTAGATCAATTAAAAGCAGCCAAGTTAAAATTTCCGGTTTAACTGTATATTTTTCATTTGCAACCGTAATAGCAAATTATCAATAATATTACATGTTTAAAATTTATGAATATAATTTAGTTCAAATTATAAACTCAATACATATTTAAAGTGGTAAATACATATAATATGTGACATACATATATTGATCACTAAAAAAGGTCAAGTCTTAATTCATTTAAATAAAAATTTTCATTATAAATTAAGTTGCTGCTAATAATATCTCGAATAATAATCATTTTCATCACGATCAAGATTAAATAATTAATAACTTATTTATCACGATTCTGAGAATGCGATTTATTCGATTAATTCTAAATATTATCTAAAATAATCAAAACTAAATACATAATATTAACTTAAACAAAGAATGCAGGCATATGAAATGTTTTAAACTGTTCGATATAAAAAATGCAAGAGCTGATTTCTTCATGTTTTAAATAATTTACAAAATGTTAGAGCTAAGCAAAAAACTTCATGTTTAATTTGTATTTGATTTAATTTGTAAAGGAATTTTTAATTAAACATTCTAAATACACACAAGTATTCTTTTATTAATTAATATACAAAAATACTCAGTCTTTTAAAAATATTATATATACAAATTGCCAGACAGAGAGAGAAAAAGAACCTCTGTCATGTGATATGCACATGTTATGTTTTACAAATATAAGAATTGTAACTGCATACCGAGTAATTGTCTTCTGGTATTGACTCGCAATCATCGTGAACGTTAGACATTGCACTCTCATTAGGCTTAGTTCCCTTAACACGACACTTGTTTCTAGGCATACCAGACGTGATGCATAACTCTAGTAAGGCCCATTCTTCCGTGGAAATCAGCGAACCTTCTTCACTGAGGGAACTTGCTGAACTATGGCGCGAAGGCACCGTGTTAGATTTCACTGTGTTGTGATTTTTGCACGAGTAATCGTCGTCATTTTGGATTCTGTTACAAATCGGCACGCATTTCACATCGCGAGATCGCATATACAGACTGTCAACGAAATTACCGTTTTGACTTTCCGTACGACGAAGCGGCGACCTTCGAGCACAATGCGGCGAGTTGTTTATCCTGTCGCGCGTACCGTTATCACAATTTTTTAATGTCTGACCGGAGGTCTGTGCTATATTACTGCTTGATGCTTTCCCGGGGAAGTGGTTAAAATTGCCGGATACGTTTCTGGCAAAACGCACATCCGTCGTGTTGATATTCACAGATTTATACAACGATGGTGAATATAGCGCGGCATTCCTGGCAGAATGAGACTTGTTCGCAAAGTAGGAAGCCGAAGGGTTGGAAAAGTTGCCTGTAACTTTCGAAGGTGGTTCGGATTTTTTGGCTGTGGATGTCATTGCTGCAGACGGCATGGAATTTAATGCCTGAAAATTAATTTATATCATCATACAGTGTATATATACAATATCAAATATTAGAACATTTATTCTAAGTATGATATAGAATATCCCAAGTGTAAAACAGAAAAGTGTTCTTTTTTAGTGTAGTCTTTAATATATTCGTTATTTAATATCTGTCAAGAAATGCTTTTGTGTATACCTTATTATTTATACATAAATAACTTACTTTTGGCATACCAGACCTAATACATTGTGCTAACATGATATCTTCTTCTTCTTCAGAAAGTCCAACATTGTCTTCGAAAGGTAAGAGTTTCTTTGCTATACTTTTCTTTTGCTCCACGTATCTTGGCTGAAAAAATGATGAAGTGGAGGGCAGCTGTATATTCATCGTTGTAGGATTTTCTGCTGTTTGTGCTAACGGCGAACCAATTGACGGTGATAATCTGAACCTTGCCTAAAAAATAAACAGTCTGATAAAAAATATAATCAATAATTAATTACTGTATGTAGTATAGAACATTCGGTATAAACGGATGCAAATATTAATTTTTCAGTTCTAAAACAATAACCTTTGGCATTGCAGACTGTATACACTCCGTCAAAATTGCATCATCGTCTGAATGATTCAAGCTATCGTCTGAAAATTCATCTGGATGTCTCAATGACGCACTACCTGGTGATTTGGGACTCAATATAGAGTTTTTATTTCCATTATTTGTATCAACGGGTGAAGACGATGGTGTACCGCATATGTTAAACTTATGCGATAATGTTTCCGATTTTTTATCGAACAGAATGCCATTTGTTGGAGGTGGAGTTATCTGTCTTGCCTATGAAATAAAAATTATGATAAACAGGTTAGTTTCAACGATGATTTTTTTACCTGTTACATAATACACACGCGTGACACTTTTTAAATTATATCTTTAAATGTCAACGCGAGATATTTTTTGAGCAGATTCTATGGCTAGATTAAATATTGTAAAAAGAAAAAAGATAATTTATAATGAGACTCTAATTCTATATATACGCTTTAGTTTATAAAAGACTGATAAAAAAGTGAAATGAGATTGTAGTAGGAGGGAACCCATCTTGAAAATAAGTAAATATATAAAATACAATAACTAATTGAAAAAGTTAATACCTTAGGTATGCCCGATTGAATACATTCATCTAATATTTTCTCATCTTCGCCCGAAAGATTGGAATTTTCATCAAACAAGTCATTTCTGTGGGAATTGATTTCGGCTGATTTGTCTTGCTCACACACAATCTTCTCCTCATCCTCCTGTACACTTGGCATTGAGAGAGCAGACAGATTGGATTGAGATCCCACTGGAGAGATATCTGCGGGCGTGTCCTCCGTACAATACACATGTACGGTGTCTGAAGCAACAATTTCCATTGCAGTCCTATTCTTCGAAGTACCAACAGGTGTCTTGACTGGAGTCGCGGGTGATTCCAATCTGGTTGGGATAGACGTTCTCTGATATGGCACTAAGATGTTCGTTGACTCTGATTGTACAGATTTCTGAGAGTTCAGAGACTGTCTATATCTGTGTAAATACATTTGTAAAGATTTTATTTTAAATTATCTAATAAATTCTTTTTCTATAGTATATTACCTGTTAGTTTGCATTCCCATGTTAATACAAGCAGCCAACATATCCTCGTCATCTTCATCGCCGTCACTTACTTGTTCCTCTTTCACGTTGTTCTCGGGACTATTTATTTTCATATTAAGCATATCTTTTTCAAGTACATGAACATCTTTCTCATTTGTATCAAATACTCCTTCCATTATGCAATACGTCTTGGTGTCATTAGGTATTTTGACTTCGTCATCAATTGTAAGAGAACTTAGACTGGTTGCACTCGAAAATTCAATTGGCGTTGATTCTTCCTTGAAAGTGGCAATGTCATCTTCAAAAACACTATTTCTCGTGACATTCGGTTTAGAAAATACTGCAACAGATATGAAATTTAAATTTATATTAATATTATTATTATTATCATCATCGTCGTATTGGTGATTAATAGTATTGCCTACATAAATGTCGGACTGATGGTCTTACTGCTTCTTCTTGTATTTTTGATATAAATTCTGCATTCTGAGTTTTATGATTACGTGGACTGGGTAAAACTGTTTGTGTGGGTGAATCAGGCAGTTCACTGGGTGAGACTACACCACTGGTTCTACGGCTGAGGAAATAATAAATAAAAATGGCATTATTTTATGTACAATTGAAGAATTAAAATTGTATTAAGTAAACAAGATTTAAAATATTTCCTGAGAAGTAGTAATCTTGAAAATAAAATACAATTATAATATTAATGTTTAATATAAATTTTGTATTTTAGATTTCTGTAAGTTTTACATTTTCAAATAAAACTTACCTAAAGTCACTGATCACAGAACTACGATCGTCATGTATAGAATATTGTTCAAAACCACTCAACGAACCAAGCGAACTACAGCGTGAAAACATTAAAGGAGTTTCTTCTGCATAGTAATCTTGGCCACCAAATGTCACCATTTTTCCTGTAATATATGGATATCTTGTTGTGCCAACATATTATACTTAATACACATTTGTTAAAATTATATATAGAAACGTACTTTTATATATATTTTTATTGTTAATTTAATAAGGGATACAAACCTTCTTTGTCTAACACACGTGGGCTATTCTTATTTTCAAAAGAATTATCGCTCACCGATGACAACTCGATTTGATTGCTATTCAATCTCACACTGTGATCATTATTTTCCAACTCTTCCTTATTCACAGGAGGAGGTGAATCTTCTTTCAATATAACTTCCGTGCTATTATTCTGAGGAGTCATCGCGCTACTCAGAGAACTAAGCGAATTGGCACGCGAGAAGCCACGAGACGTTTCTTCTTCTTCATAATAATTTACTATCTTCTCTGGAGTTACTTGTCCAGGATTAAGAACCACTGTATCCTTTGAATTGTCTTCTTCAAGCTCTTTCGTTTGTGGACCATCTTGCTCGTCGCACGTAAGAGCTTCGGTCTGTTCGACAAAGGACGTGGATATCTTGCTGGCTACTTGGTTCGTCTTTTTTGGCACCTTCTTCACAAGTACGTTCTCTTTTATATCTTCAACTCGAAGATCCGACATGGAAGTAGCTGTGGAAAAGTTAAAGGGAGTCTCATATGGCGTTCCCTCTGTGCAATAAGTCTTGACGGTATCTTCTTGTTCGCTGCCAGCAAAGTACTCATTGTTCTGCTTCTCCTCCTCGTCAGTGTCGTCCTCAGCGTATCGCAGGCTATAATCCGTAGGCTGATCAAGATCGGTTTCCGCATAGTCGCCAAACAGGTCCACCTTGTTGTCGCGCTCGTCGAACTCCTCTTTCGCGACGCGGCTCGTTTGCGATTCATCGGCCAGGCGTTGATTCTGCGGCACAGCATTTCTCTCGACATATTTCTTGCTATAATCGACCGGTTGATCGTTCACGTCCTCGTCGTATGTCTCCGCGCCATTCATGTCCATACTGGCGGCAGATCTCTAACAGCGAGACTAGTCGAGATGCATCGTGTTGAGTCTCCTAAAAGAAAGCGATCACAAAGATAACTTGTAGCATTTTGCGACTAGCAGCGTCATAACGATTGAGTGACAAGTCACAAGATATCGAATTTTCGACAACAATATTATAACCATTGACATTCTCCATTCAATTTTCCTAACACCTTTCTGCATTAAAAAGTTTATACGTTAAAAGCGTACATTGTTATAAATGAGCACATAACAGGACAGATGCCACAAAAATAGCCCGAGCGTCTCTCATGTCAGATTCAGGTACACACTTTAGATGCTTGAGGAAGCTAAAGTAAATAAAGAGAGAGCTAGAGAGGCAGAGGATAAATGACTGGCGCTGGCGAGTGGCGCGACGCGCGACTGGCGTGTTTCTTTCTTGTTTCTCTTTCTTTGCGCGCCCGCGCAGTGGCGTTCGCGAAACGCGAAACATTCCTCGAGTCTCCAGAAATTCTCTATTCCGTAGCCAATCAACACGTTTGAAAAATTTTTCGCATTCCGTTAAAGACAAAGATTTCGAAAAAGACGCGGCCACTTTTCTTTTTTTAATGTTCTTCAAATCTTGCGCTTTCTATTTGCTTTTTATTTGCTTTCTATTTCGATCCACTTTTACCACTTTTACTATCTACCACTTTCATATTTGAACGTAAACATACTTTATTAAGACACGAGTTAAAATTTTCTTATCGGATATAGTATCGAGAGACGCAAAGTTATTACTTTGCCGCGCCGCTGTTTATTTCTACTCGCAGTTATACTTTGGACTTTGGATGCATTTTAATGTATGTAACGATGTTTAGGAAATTGAAAATATAAGAAGGTGGTAACGTGAACAGCCTGTTACGCAATAAGATTATGTTTGCGCTAGGGCAACATCCGCAACACACCTAACGTAACGACACGACGATAACGCGTATGTGAGACGCAGCGGATTGGTCGATTCCTCGCTTAGAAGCTGACGCGATAGGCCGCTCGTGACACGTGCGCGCGTGCCGCTGATTGGCGCGCCGATGCCGCGCCGATGGGTGGTCGGGCGGAGGCTCTATCGATTTAAATTTGGTTTGCCGGTGCGCGTGTCAATAGTGGACGCGGAGCCGTCCGAGTCGTAGCCGAGCGCGGGGTTTAGGGTTAATTTCTCTCCGCGGTATTCCAAGCGGGTTGAACAATAAGCTCTTTATCAGCAGCGGATATGTCGGAGCAAGAGAAGCACCGGACGAGCGCGAACAAGCCGATCGAGTTTGAGAGCGTCGTGCCGAAAATCAGGTCAGTTTCGCGTTCGGGCGGTACAGCGGTACTCGCTCCTCCGCTCCTCGGGTCGGATTCGCCTCGCCTCACTTGGGCTCACTCGCCTGTCGAGCGTCGAGGGCCAGATGCGCCCCTGTATCGTACATGCGCGAATGCGCGTAATATATATATACGGGGCACATGGGAATCGTGTCGCACACCGCAATCCGCAATACCGCACACGCGTGACCTAACGCGCCCACGCTGGCCACGCGCGTGCAGCGTGCACCAGCGTGCACTTAATCGCGACCGGCGACCGGCCACACCTCTCGCAGCTGTGTACATACCCTGTGTGCACTTTACGTGTGTAAAAATTCGTGACTCATTGTCGACGTTATGACATGACTCCCCCTCCCCCTCCCCCGCGTCTCGGGTCTAGGCTCGAGTGACATTGTCATGTAATCGTAATGTCGATCGATAAAAGACTTTCCGTGTGCCCCTTTTCTTCCTTCCTTCCTTCGTTATTCTCTCGTTATTTGCGTGAATAATTAACTGCAGGTTCTTTTTTTATCGCTCTATTTTTTTTTGTTATCGGTAGAGACGTTATATAGCGGCTCGAGCGGAATAACGGCAAAAGCGGAGGAATGGACGTACGCAAATTTCGAAAAATCATGAAAACGTACAATTTTTTTACGAACCGCGCTCGACCGAGCCGGGAGCCCTCGGTCACGTGACAAACGTGTGCGCGGCACACAGGCCGAGAGTTTGAAATATTTCGAGACTCGCGCATGTCGCGGGTCGCGAGATATAATTATATTCGGCTTTCGGTCTTTTAGACCACTCACGTCTACGTTGCTGTTGGTGTTTAAGGCAGCAGTTGTTAAGATGGAACGGCTGGGGCTACAAGGATTCCGGGTTTCGCCTCAACGACAGGAGCGTGATAGAGTTTATTGGTGACAGGTGAGTTTCGTAAGACCTTTTGTCTCTATACCGTTTTGGAATCTTCACCGATTAACTTTCGATATCGGTTCGATTCCATCGTATCGAGCGTAACTGCTATTAAATGTTGCGTAAAGACAACATTAAGAACGGAAGTGGAGAAATATCATAATGTAAGTTTAAAATGTACGTTCTTTTTAAGTTAACCAAATTATGTATTGTGATTTACGATGGTGCGTAAAGATAAGAAACGAGAAAAAAATATTTAAAAGTCATGATTCAAGTATATTAATAATGATTCAAATATAACATTCAGTTATACCACTAAATATATAGGAAGAATAAAAAATAAATGTTTACTACTTAGAGGAGTGCTATTAAAAAGTATAATGAAGATATAAAAGATATTCAAACGTAAGAAATATATTTTATTCGACTCGTATTCGATTCGTCATAATATTTTGTGCGTTTTTTTGTCTTCCAAATTACATTGGAAATACATTTCGATTCTCGATTTTTTGAGTAGTTTTGTGACCTTTTTGCTTCTGATTTTTAAAAAATTTCGCTCCCAAGGCTTAAGGCGCGGCAAATGACGCGCGATAGTTTTTTTTTTAATTTTTTACATATTTTTTAACCTTTGCGTGCTGACTATATTCAGTCAGACTTGCAACACACAGTTCTGGTTGGAGTAGTAAAATCTCCTCCCTCCCTCTAATTAATAGATTTAATTAGGACGGAGGGAGGGGATTTTACTGCTCCAAACAGAACTATGGCCAGTATTCATAGTCGGTTCTTATTTTAAGACCGTCTTAAGTTATGTCTTAAGATACTAATACGGCTCTGTAAATGATTAATGACACCTTAAGATCGTACTTAAGACGGTCTTAAATATAAGATTCGACTATAAATACTGGCTTATGTTGCAAATCCGACAATAATGACAATATAGTCGGCGCGCTGTTTCCTAAGATTGGAAAATATGTAAATAATTTGCAAATAACTTTCGCGCCTCATTTACCGGGTTTGGCGCTTAATTAGCCCGTTTCTCTCGTATCCGTATAAAGTACAGATTTCGATGAATATAGGTATCCATAGCATCGAGAGATTTTAGCTTGCTAAATGTATACGTTGAACGTTGAAATTCTTGCGTATTATCTCGTTTTCTTATGTCTATCTACTGGCTAATTATATTTATTCAATTACTGGCAAGGGCGTATCGTTAATGCATGTTGCGATGTCTTATAGCGTATGTACACCTTTTATTTGCACTTCTCGAGTGATACTTATTAGTATTGCGTTTCGCCATCAGCGAATCAATTGAAGACTTTGTCTGCATAAATTCCTAAAAAAAAAGGAAAAAACATATGGGAATGGAATTGCCATTAACACTGTAACGATAATTATTTCAAAAAGAAGTTTACCAGAAAAATATGTTAATACTTCGTAATTTTGATGATATTACGTTATCAGAACGTAATTACATTTAAAAGTGTATAATCGTATTGCGTAACGTAAATAATAAAACAACATATTTTAATGGCATATTTTAGAAGTTAATTAAAGACGAAAATCTCTTAATATGAAAATATCGAAGTCATCATAAATAAAAAAATAGTATTTTAATTTATAATTTCTTAAAAATTATTATTTTTGAAGTCTAAATTTCGTTGAAGTCTAAATTTCTTTTAGCATGATGATGCATTAGTGATTGTAATCGTATGATATCATAAGTAATAGAAGTGATAAGAATTTCATTATCAAAGTTGCTTAGTTTGTTTTATAAGATACGTGATACCAACTGTATTTCGAGCCAGAATTGCAATGTAACATAAAGAATTTAAAACATCTGTTGCTAAAGAATAATTTCAAAACGAATTTCTGTACGAATAGCAAACGTGCAGTTAACGTAAAAAAAAGACGATAATTATGTGATATCTCATCGTCTTTTGAAACAATTATAGATATTTATGATAATTACTGCTTTATCGTCTTTATGTCAATAGCTGATAAAAAGAACTTTTTTAGCCTCGTTGATAAACATATAAATAACTCCAGCCACTTAGTCATCCTAATATAAAGAAGACGAAATAAAAGATCAATATAATTTATTTTTCTAAATGTTTTTTTAAAAGGCTACATCTCTTAAGTCGATACATGACTGTTTGGCTGCTGTTCATCTTTAGCGATTAATTATCTCGACTTGCGTTTACTTCCTTCTAAGAGCACGTATTGCGGACAATCGGAAATTGTTCTAGCATGTATTGTAATCTCGTACACGTTTAACTTGATTAGAACATATGCTACGTAAAGGTCAGTTTCCCTGTAAATAGTACGACGTTTGATATATTTTTTAGATATCCCATTGGAAACCGGGAGCTTCCATATTTCACAAAATGGTGCGAAACAACTTTCGATATAATATGGGAAATGAAGAACACGCCTCAAAATTTACCGAAGGACTTTCCAGAACCAATTCTTTCTGCAGAATTGTTAGAAGCGATCAAGGAATTGACGATCGACTATTCAACCAATGGTATCGATCGTCTGTTTCGAGCACACGGTCACACGTTGCGAGAAATTTATCTTTTGAAGTACAGCTCCTTCGAAAGGATACCGGATATTGTCCTGTGGCCCAGTAAGTTGATACTTATTCATCCTTGCCATACTGCGATAAATAGGCGGAGTTTGATCGGAGTTTGTACTAATCCATACAATATTGGCTTTCAAAAAATATCTATTAATGAGATAATATAATCGTTAAATTAAAAAAAAAAATTTATTTCTATATCTTTTTCAAATAGAAAAACAAAAAAATTTATATAAAAAGAAAAAATATTTAAACGAATAGAGATAATCTTCAAATATTCGAAACGGTTCCATCTTGAAATAAGTTATTATGATAAACATAAAATGTCTTTTTAGGAACGAAATAACGCACTGGAAATATTTTTCAAATAATCATTAAGAATTGCGATTAAAAAGAATTAAAATAAAACGTGTTGTACATATGTATAATATACATATTGTTGTACACAAAACAATTGCGTATAGAAATTTCTTCCGTATGTCAATCTTTTTTTCTGCAAGCAATAATCAATGTATGTTATTACTCCGCCTATTTAATTGTGTCGTAATGCAATTGTAGAGTGCTACTGGCGATCTTTTGCCATCTTGAATTATAAGTATGTGTCTGATGCGTATTGATATATTTTTTATTTTGTTGAAAATATTTTTTTATTTTGTTGAAAATAGCGATAAATCTATTGTTTATGCTTGTCTTAATAAAATTTACTGTGTAATGAATAATAACATTATTTTTTAATTCAAAGTTTAATTCGAAATTATTTTTTAATACGAAATATCCTTAAAGTCGTGTACGATTAATTTATTTCTGTTCAATTTTAACTAATGCAAGAAATTACGTTAATCAGTTTCACTGATTTTATTTTTAATGTCACATTATTATATAGCCATCTATATACATGATTACATAGATTTCATCAAATATTTTATTCGATGTAATTTCAGTTAGTTTGGATCAGATAATTTCGTTATAAATTCGTAAGATTTTTTGTTGCGCACACATAAAAATCCAAGAAATTCAAATGATCTTCTCGGTGTCATAAAGCGTGTTAAAAACAGCATACTTTGCATACTTTGAAATCCACCGAAATAAATCAATATTGCATGTGACATACGAGTTATAACAAGAATAATAAATAATATATTTCTGCTTATGTGCTCAAGGTTGGATATTTAACCGAACTAATATGCAAGTCTATCCTTTCACTTTCACATATAGGTGACAAGATTGTCCAGAATTTAAAGCGTAAATGACAGTTACTAAATAGAAATACTTATCTACTAAATTAATAACAAGTGAAAAGTATTGAATTAAGACAGATTACAAAAATTAACTTTATTAAAAGTAAAATTGATATAAATGACTTGCATTTTCCGTGCGCGTGGAATCATATATATATATATATATATCGATTAACATAAATCAAAAGCATGTTTTGATCGAGGTCAGAAAACACTTAATTCATATTTCATTATAGAATATGAATATAGAATTATAGAATATACATAAAAATATCTCGTGAATTATTTATTTTTCTATGATCTCATGCTATTATGTATAATGGGCAGAACTTTTTTACATAAGAAAACAGCATGATTCCATTTAAAAAAATGGGAATAGTCCGCTTCTGATAAATCCAAGAATCCTATTTTATGAAAAATTTTCACAATCTTTAAGTACCACAAAAAATGTTGTTACCAATCACTTGTGAGTTATGAATGTCCCTGATAGCTTCTGAGAAAATAACATACTTTGTGTTTCCCATTCTGCATAAGTGCATTTGCTTATGTATATTTATTACTGCGTATGAGTGAAAACGTGTGTTTTGGTTCTTCCTTTCGTGGGAAAATTTTCGCTGTGAGGTGTCCTCTATTAATATTCATACCTACAGAATGCCACGAGGATGTCGTCAAGATTGTCAATATGTGCGCACACTATGGGGTCGTTTGCATACCTTTTGGCGGTGGAACCAGCGTCAGCCGCGCGACGTGTTGTCCTCCGGATGAACGTCGCACGATAATTTCATTAGACACGTCACAAATGAATCGGATATTGTGGATAGATAGGGACAATTTGTTGATATGCTGCGAATCAGGCATAATTGGTCAAGATCTGGAACGATTACTTCGCTCCGAAGGATTTACATGTGGTCACGAGCCCGATTCTTATGAGTTCTCCAGGTACGTGAAGTCTAATATCCGATTAGAGTATGCGTAAAGTCGAGTTTCTCGTTTCTGTACGAATGCATGGTACATCGAGATACATATTGTTAAGATAAATACTTTCTGTTAAATAATAAAATTTGACAAATTTCTTATTACCTAATATTTTCCATATATTTAAATTGCAAACCTTTACACTGACAATTATTTTTTCTATTACCATTCAAATAAAAAAATCTAAATTTTTCTATAAAATTAATATATTATATAGACTATTTCTTATCATTTGCCTCAACCCTGGTTAATAAATGGAAACGATTCCTGCTTAATATAAATTTAGTTATAATTTTTTTAAATTTTAATTCACGAATTGAATTTAAATTATAATTTCGTATAAAAGTAATTTTATTTATCAAGATACATAATATGATAAGGTGGGTGTAATAGGTACTTTGAAAAAAGGGTAGTACAAAACACATATTTAGCCATAAAATCACATTAATTAAAAAAAGCTTTTTAGATTAAATGCACAATGAATAACAAACAATTAGTAGTGTCTTTCTGCATGCTGCATAATGACATTAGTGAACTTTAAACAGTTATTGCATATATACTTATATCTATATATGTGTATATATATAGAATACATACATAAATAACATATTTATAGATACATATGCAGTATCTGATATACACATATATATGATAATATTTGCGATGACAAAAAACATACTTTGATTTCGTTTCTTACAGAACTCGATATTGATTTGTCAGCTCACCCCTGGTTTCCATGCACGCATTGCCGCGTGTTAAGTTGCGCATCAAACGCGCGCGTTTGAAAAAAGCACGCATTTGATTGTGTAATCTGTGAAGAGATGCATGTTTGACGCGCGTTATTATAAGTTATTATAATGCGCGGAAACGCGTACAACGGAAACCAGAGATCAGAGTGTGAGCTATTTTAAAATGCATTTAAATGCATAGCATGAAAAGCAAACAAGACTCATTTTTTTCGTACTATACATCGCCATAAAACATATCGCCGCGTACATACACACACACACACAATGAAGCGTTAATTTTTTAAATTTAATATTTATATTTGTTATCGCACCAGAAAAACCATACAACATGATCAATAATATTAGGTTATTTTGTAAATTTGTATATTTTTTTGTAAACGTAAAAAATATTTACATATTTTTACGGTAATTCAGGGTTCAGTTAAAGTACTATAAAAATGTGTCCCTGTTGTAAAGCACAAAATATAAACTATGAAAAGGAATCGAATTATCTTATTTAATTGAAGATAAATAATATTACAATATTTCAAATATAAGATACAAGACATGACTGCAACTTTCAATCAAAATACAAAATGCATCAGTATTCTTGAAAAGTTAAATTAATAAAAGTATATGTAACTTGTATCCTTTGAAATATCTCTATATCTATTTACATATGTATACTTGCATACATAAATATGTAGATATTTCAAAGATTTGCCTCAACCGTATTTGAAACTCAACCCTGACTAATAAAGTAATAAATCAGTATTTAAAAGTTTTTCTTCACATGTGCGAAACAAAATTTCGAACGCACGGAAAGCTGAAAATAGCTTGTCTCGAATAGTTTAGGTGGATGGGTGGCGACTAGGGCAAGCGGCATGAAAAAGAATACGTACGGCAACATTGAGGATTTGGTCGTGCGGATACGAATGGTCACTGGAAGAACAGAGGATCCTGTTATCACTTTGGAAAGAGGTAGTCTGGTACCTCGCGCGTCTTGCGGCCCGGATTTTGATCATATGATACTTGGCAGCGAGGGAACGCTGGGTATTATCACGGAGGTCGTACTAAAGATAAGACCGTTGCCACGAGTGGTGAAATACGGCAGTATTGTGTTCCCACATTTTCTGAGCGGTGTTCACGCGTTACGAGAGGTGCGTATCCTTTGTTGACTTTTACATTAAGCCGACCGGTAAAGGCCGTGCTGCTTTGTTAACACTTGCCCAAAATAAATATCGTGAAAGCCGACGAAAGAAAGCCGACGGCAGCCTTGTACATCCGGTTGCATGGGCAATAAAGGAATAATACGATCCACCTCGTACATCGTACAAGATTGACAAAAGAATGTAATTTCGTTATGAATGTATAGATTGCGAAGGAACGATGTCAACCCGCCAGCATCCGCTTAATGGACAACGAGCAGTTCCAAATGGGGCAAACTCTACGCCCGGAATCTGGTTGGGGCGGCTTGATCCTGCAAGGATTAAAACATATGTACATCACTAGAATAAAGGGTTTCCGATGGGATCAGATATGCGTGGCCACGCTATTGATAGAGGGCGACGTAGCAGCGGATGTTGCGGCTCAGGAACGGAAAATTTACAAGATAGCTGATAAGTACGGTGGGATACCGGCAGGCGAGGCGAACGGTGAACGAGGTTACATGTTAACATTCGTGATAGCGTACATCCGTGACATTGGACTCGAGTTTAACGTGTTAGCAGAATCGTTCGAGACTTCTGTTTCTTGGAACCGCGCATTATCACTGTGCCGAAATGTTAAGTCTCGCGTGGCCAGGGACTGTAAGGCGTACGGCGTTCGTAAATATTTTATTTCCTGCCGCGTCACGCAGACTTATGACGCGGGTTGTTGCGTGTATTTTTACTTGGCGATTAGCTACGCAGACATGGAGAATCCCGTGGAAACTTACGAGGCCATCGAGCATGCGGCGCGAGAGGAGATACTCGCCAATGGAGGATCGCTCTCCCATCATCATGGAGTAGGTAAAATACGCGCGCCGTTTTATCCCGAAGCCGTCGGGGAAGTGGGTGTTTCGCTTTATCGAGCGACTAAGGCGCACTTGGATCCGCATAATATATTCGCAGCGGGTAATATGGTTTCAGGGAATAAATCCAAATTGTGAATTAAAAGCCGTACGTGCGACATAGTGGGGAATCTATAGAGCTATTTCGTATACTCCGTTAGTGCCGATATCTTAAATCATTGAAAAGTTTGATTGTAGCAAATTGATGTGATCTCGTATACCTTCGACCAAAAGTTACGATATCTCATCAACTTGCCATTAAGATTGTTCCATGTGATGTTTTCTAATGAAGAATTCGATTTTCTCATTATAATGGCGAATGCACGTAGATAGCAACTGGTATTGTTGTTTGCTGATTCGTAATGATATAGAGAAAAAAAAGAGACTAGTATAATATACATTATAAATAATTATGCACCGTGGCGTCGTTTGGTACAAATGCGGAATTGTAATTGTATATATCGGCATTTTTATAAATTATTATAACTAAACAAAACACACGTTTACCTTACGCACAGATACCTTAATTTATCTCTACTTACTATCAACTATAGGTTATTTGAGTTTAGGTACGATGATAATGTCATTTTCCTTATTGTTAGAATTAACAACTTGTGTTCCATTGTAACAGGGCTAGATTTGTTAACTCTTAATCAGGCGTAGTTTTTATTATTAATACGTAAATTACGTAAGTGATCACTTTTGGCCATTGGGAATATGCTACAATTACTGGAACTATACGCAACCAAGAGTTAACAACCGGATCTGATTTTTCTACAATTTCTTCTTCATTTGATATCATGTGCCAACATTGAGCTACGCGAAGAACTTGCCGAGCTCTAAATCTACGTTGAATGATTGATTTATCGAGGTACTGGTAAGCTTACTGGCTATCAGCCTTCAGAGTAGACAGAAATGAGTCGAGATCGTATTCGTCGTCGTATTGCTGCTGTTCCCAGAGTTCGGGTAGGATATCTAGCACAGAACGGCTAATTCCCGGTAGGCCAGGAAGTTTTGAAACAGTGTCCTCTTGGTGATCCGTCCTCTTCTCCTTTCCGTTATCCAATGAAAATAGATCTAACAACTAAAGACATCACATTGATTATACATCATGTGAGTTAGTAAAGTTCAGTATCCAAAGAGTTCAGTATTAATTGTTTAATTACTTGATCAGTAGCCATGGTTTCCAAAGAGGCGTTCTCCGTTGATATTATCGTATTCGCAGTGAGAAGCTTGAATTTTTGTAGTCCCATGATTTTTTCTTCCACTGTCGATCTAGTAATCAAGCGATATACGTTGACTACTTTCTTCTGGCCTATACGATGCGCGCGGTCCATTGCTTGGAGATCTTTCATGGGGTTCCAATCGTGCTCCACGAATATGACGGTGTCTGCTCCCGTCAAATTTAATCCAAGACCACCGACTTGAGTAGTCAATAGAAGAACATCTATCGATGGATCAGCATTAAAACGCGCCACGACAGAGTGCCTCTGCGCCGCCGGTACACTACCATCCAGACGAAGATACGTTACTGTCGGCAGATGCGTGCGAAGTAAATCTTCTTCGACAATGTCCAGCATTGCTTTCAACTGACAAAAAATTAGAGCGCGATGCTGGCTGACTAATTGCTGTTCCTGAGAATGGGCGCTTTCCGTGGTAAGACTTATGGCGACGGAGAATTTGCGAGTTTGTTGCGGTTGCCCAATGCCACAATCTAATAGCAGTTGCTTCAATGCAAGCAACTTGGCGCCGTGCTCGATTTCTGCCAGAGTGCTTTGTTGCTGTTTCAACATATCGCATACCTGGAAATATTAGAAAAATTGTATAGGGTGATAAAAGTCATATTACAGCAGGTTTAAAAACTTAAGCAACGGAAAAAAAATTGAGAAATGTAACACTGAGACAAGATTATATTTCTCTCTTTCTTTAAATATTTTGTTCCTATATATATTTAAACATTTTTGTTTTTGAATACGTACTGTTCGATACAGTGGATGCCCTTGACTTAGCACTAATTTGGGATGATTGCACACATTACGCAGATAGCGTAGCGCCTCGAACACGTGACTACTTTGAGAATCGTTCGAAGACGAGGAGCTGTTGGTGAGGGCCGAATGACGAGTGCGGAAATCCTCGTAAAGTATGCGTTGTAAAGGCGATAAATCGCAGTAATAATCTTGCGTGATTTTAGGTGGTAAATCTTGCAGCACATCTTCCTTGTTTCGTCTTAATAAGAATGGCAATACCTGTAATCAATTTCTGATTATCCTGAAGTATTACCGTAATATAACCCTAACTGCAACGACAACGAGAACATGTGACACGCAAATTACCTGTCTGTGCAGAGCTTCCATAGCTAAGGCACCAGCTTCTTGGTCCTTCGGTCCTGCTTTCGGCTCTCTGCAGGCCAAGATGGGACGGGAATATTTAGCGGCAAATTGTTTCTCGCTGCCGAGGAAGCCTGGCATCAGAAAGTCAAATAGAGACCACAACTCGAGCACGTCGTTCTGTACAGGTGTACCAGATAATATGAGCCTGTGATTCGCGTGCAATCGTTTCGTGGCTTTGGCGCTTTTCGTTTTGCAGTTCTTTATTATATGGCCTTCATCGAGCACACAGTAATTCCATTGATGTGTTTCGAAAAATTCGATGTCTTTTCGTACAATGTCATAACTGGCAACTACGAGTTTGTGATGTGGTACCCGGGGACGCAATTTCTCACGGTCTTGCGGTGTACCAGCATACTGAATGACCGACAAATCCTTTGCCTTGAAGAATTTCTCAGCTTCGTATACCCAATGACCGGTAAGAGTTGGTGGACATATTACGAGACTGGTAGGTGCCTGTGGATTGCGATGATGGTCCAACGCCAGAATACAAAGTGTCTGTAATGTTTTTCCGAGACCCATGTCGTCACACAGAACTCCATGAAGATGATAACGATTCAAAAAATTGAGCCAATTCAAACCCTGTTGTTGGTAGGAACGTAATTCCGCGGCTACGGGAATCGGTAGCTCCGTATCAGAAATATTACGAGGATTTAAAAGTTGATCCAAGAACTTTCTCTCTTGTGCCTTTTCTTGCCTGTGATATGATATTACATGAGCATCATTGAACTCGAGTGTCGATAGTGCGAGTTTTCGATAATATACACAATTGGTGAACAAATTGGCGGTATGCCTTGCTGGAATATCTTGAGTATTAATCAATATTAATTAAATCTTATAGCTTGCTTAATCTGTCAGTGAATTCAGTATTTTTGAAAACGATGATACAATACTCGCGCGGTACACTATAATCGCGGCGCAAGTGCGATCATTGATGTTCAACATTCAATAATTGTTATTGCGCTGCCAATGTTCGTTATCGCTTTTCCAATTTTGTTTATTAATTTAAATTTCAATTTGATAGGTATCGAACAGATATTTTTGTAACTACTATTTGTAATCGTTATTTATGAAAACTGAAATAATTTTCAAGGAATATCATCGCCATCGCATACACCAAATGTACCTATTATCGAACATTATAAATATAATCTTGCATGAATAACGTACACTAGGTCTGGTGGGTCCGAAATTGCGCCAGGATCTAGCGGTAATAGTTGCACAAGCGTAGCGAATGTCGCGCTACAAACTAGTCTTACAGATTGATTTTGATCGCTCATACGTCCTAATAAGGGTACCATAAAGAGTACTGCATATGGCACCACGTGCACACCTAAGCTCTCGACGATACAAGTTAGAGCTTCTGCAGCTCCTTGACGTACGGAATCGACTTCGTTCGGTGCCACTATGCCTGAAGAACATTTCTTCTCACTGCCAGTTGTGTCTAAGAGTGGTATAACGCTGCGTATTATGTGTACCATTGTCTGAAAGAAACTATTCTTAGTCCATTTGATCTTCTATCATTATTAATATTCATCTGATAAAGCTAATTACCTTCTCTGTATTTAAAGTAGCTAAAGTCGCTATACATCGCGAGGCCATATGCCTAACGGCTTTGTACGGATGTGCCAATAGACTGCACAAACGTGGCAGACATTCTAACGCAGGTGGTAACAGAGACTTAGCTAAACTCGGCACCATGATCTCTAATACTTGTAAGCCGAAAATTAATTGATTTCCTTCCTCTTCTTGTATATTATCTTGTTTGGTTGCGTCCTTTAGTGTGTTCGGTAAAATCAAATCCCACAGTTGAGGTAAGCGATCAGGTAATTGAGAACCGAAGAGAGTAGCTTTAAGAATATGGAAATATTTTAAAATATAGCTTACATATGTATTATAGATCGTTCTCATAAAAGTTAATTATATACAATTACTTGAAATTTAATCGATTCCCTTGTCTTTTTTTTTAACTAGTCAGAGCAAACATTTAATTAAGCATTAATTAATTTTGATTAATGCACATCGGGACGCGATCTCTTTAAGTATTAACTCTTTAAGAATGTACCTATAGCTGTTAATGCCATTGTAGCTCCACGCCGGCGCGTTCTAGCGGCTTTGGCTTCCGGTTCTTCGCAAGCGAGTAACTCCTCAATAGGAATGTCAGTCGTCGGTGGCCTACCAGGGCCTCTACCGCTGCCGAGTCCACTACCTGCACCTCGATTATATGCTATTCTCTCGGCATGTTTTTGCCTGTTATTCAAAGTGAGTATTCCATCAAAAATTTCAACGTCACCGGCGCAACATACCCGTGGTGTGAACTCAACATCAGAACATAGGAATGTACATAGATTGGCAGAAATCTGTAACAGATGATTATTTAATAAATCTTGCACCATAGAAAGGATATTCGATAGTTTTCGAGATACTCATATTCGTTTTTTTCCTCATGATCTCGTGTATTTTATATACGAACCTTTGCGTTCGGAGATGGTTTTCTATCGACACAGAGCTCGACCAAATGAGACAAATGTTTTGCAGCCAATTTTTGCAATTCTTCGTTTTCCTCGCGCTTTATAGCTTCCATTAGCGGTTTTACTAACGGATTAAGTGGCTGAGGAGATTGAGGAAGAATATGTAACATCGTAGCGGCACCAGCGAGCGCAGCCATTGACATGATATGCAACGACTGTTGTTGTGCTGCCGTTGTAGTTGCTCCGACATCTAACGCTCGTCTTCTCTCCTCTAAGCTCTCCATTAATTTAGGTTTCAATTTAATAGCCATTGAACCGCTGTTAATATTTCCACCTCCACCAGCGTTTGCTCCCACAGTGCAAAGGGTGGAAATTGTTTTTCCAGCAAGTGTAGCGATCTGATCAAGAGTCATCACACCAGACGAATCCACTTCAACTGGTACCATAAGTTTATAATGTTTTAAAGTCGCGATATAATCTCGGCTTTCATGCAGCAGTCTCGTGAAGGAAGCCGCTATCTCGTCATAGTACATACATTCGTTTAAACAAACCAATAATCTGTCACTAAAAAAGGAAAAAACAAAAAACACCTTGTTTTAGTAATTTAGGTAAATGAAATATTCCTTGTTTTAATAGAAGTTATTTTTCGTACCTGAGAATGTCTGGTATCGCGGGTATCTTTAGTGGATCCACAGTCGCCCAATGAGACATTGTAAGCCCCACAACGGTACGTTGCAGAGCCGATCGCGAATTTAGATGTGCCAATAGCACCTTAGCATAACAAAGCGCTGGACTAGGTACGTCTGGTGGATAAATGACACCTGGTGCAGGTTGTACAACATAGTGCGACAGCAATCCTAACATACGAGACGCTCTGCAACGAGCCTGTACCACGTTTGCCTTTCGTACATTCAATGCCACCGTTTCAATCCCACCAATATACATTTTTAGTTCGGATAATGATTTCGCACTTGTATTAATATTACTGTTTCCGCCATTAGTATCTGATTGCCCGTCGCAATGGGCAATCGTTTGATTATTCTTCGTGCCTTTAATAACATTAGCAACTGTCATTAACAAATTTGGATTGAATGGCACATGTTCCGGTTGCATGGCGAGACAAAGCCACGTACTGACGTGAGGGCACGCCGCATGTAATAATAATTCGAGATCACTCTGCACGACTAGATTTTCCCAGACACGTTCGGCCACGTCTTGTATCACGCTAATATGTTCGATTAGCACGCATTGAAACACATGCCTCAATGCTTCCTGTAAAACTAATCCGCCACCCTCGCCCCATCGCTCCTTCTTGTTTTCGCTGCACGTGCTGTCGTTTCCAGTTAAAGTTTGCAGTGTTTGCAGCGTGGCTTTACGTACACTTGAACTTGAATGGCTGAGGAATGGCCATAAACGTGGTAATACCTAAGCAAAATTCAACTGTTATTCGAAAACATTTAAATGTGTGTATGTCCCGAAATAATAAAAATATTGCTGCATTACCTGCGATAATGGTTGGGGTGTTAAGCAAGCATGTGCCGTTGGTAATGAGAGTATCGCAGCCAAAAGACCCATAAAGGTGTTACAAGCCGCAGCCAAATCATCTTGTTCTTTTAATAATTGCCAAAGACGTATTACGATAACCTCCAGTTCTGTTGATTTCAATAATCGTGGAAGAGCATGCGCTACTGGTATAAGCGCACTCGCGGCGGCTGCACCTACGTCGTCGACAGGATCGGACAGTCCTTGCATAATAGCGGGAAACACTTTTGGCAATACCTCATCCAGTAAATCGTCTCGCACGGCTAATAAATATTTTAAAGCAAGAAATGCACCGTGTCTCGCTTCCCATTCGTTGTGCTCCAATAGTTTGAGAATTACAGAAAGTATTCCATGAAAAACACCATGCGTATCTTTGGCATTTGGACCACTGGGTACCAATAGGAAAAGCGATCCCAACGCTTGAGCACACGTTTCACGTACTGGCGCGACAACTTGATCAGATACAAAATCTCCAAATCGATCAAGCCCTAATACGCACAACAATCGTAAGGCAGCGTCAATCACCCATTCGTAATGGCTCTCTTGCATCTCTTCCAAGGTTTGACCCATGGTCTTGCCCGCTCCTATAAATTCAAGCTCATTTAGCGTTTAACATTTAATATTACCCAGAGAAATATGTATTACTACAGATTTTTACATACCTTTACCGTGAAGTCTTATGAGTTCCCGTAAAGCTGTCGCTGCTCCATGACGTACTTCCCATTTTTGACTAAATAAATCCTGACAAAGACTTTCCGCGAAGGATTCTAAAGGCCAATCTACGACGGAATCTGGCCAGCATCCAGTACCATCTGGCACTCCGCTTACTTGCTCGTTAGATAAGCCGCACTTTGATCCAGTATCTGATGAGATCGCGTCCTCTAATATCATTTTTTTGGTCGGTGGTTCACCAATGTTATTTAATGGAGATTGAACATTCATTGAATTTGAATGGTCATCATTAGCGCGATGATCATCCGGTTCACGCGATCGTTGTTTCGTCACTGACTGACGCGCCTGAATTGTTAATATATAAATAATTCATATCTTCGTTGCAAAATTGCAAAATTTGCAAGTAAAATACATGAAGCATATAAAGCGATTCTAAACATTTTATAAATTTTTAACGCTTGCGTACTAATTCAAATGAAAAAAGGAAACTGATTATAATAAAATAAAAGCTTGAAAATGGCGTAATACTTTGCGTTTCGCTCTGTTCATTTCTCTTCTGCTCAATCCTGCTGGTTGTTTCAAAGTTTCGTCGACAGGTACAGTAGCAGTTTGCGTCATACGTGGCGCTTGTACTGGGGTAAGATCCTCGACGGTAAATAAATCATCGACGCCTATCAAACGTGGATGAAAGCCTAGTTTGGCAGCTAATTTTTCTTGCTGACTGGGAAATGACAATTGCTCCCCCTCTGATATAGTTAGGTCGTACTCGGTGCCCTCAGATCCAGTAAGATGTGAACTACGAGCTAGAACTCTGCTCATATCAAAAGATTCTAAATTCAATTTGGTAGTAGTCCTGCGTTTAATCGCTTCTGGTTCATCTGTTAATTTAAAAAAGCCATATATTGTACAATTGGATTTTTAAAAAGATATAAAAGTTATTTAACGAGGTATTAATATTACCTGTGGAGACTTCTTTCTTAATTGATTGTGGGTCCCAAGGTGGAACTTGAGCAAGTATAGCTTGCACAGCATGGGCCGCCGATATTCGAGTATCCCATTGTGGAGATTTTAACAAAGTAGAGACTCTCGCTAATAAATGATGTAGATCATGAGGATGTAATCTCTGCGCTTCTCCCAACTGCTGTGCAGCTGCCCTTTTGGTAACTGCGTTTGTTCCGGTCTCCAATAATATGAATAGTCTGTCCAATCTAAAAGTTAAAATGTGACATATAACGTACTGGTAGAAAATGAAAAAAACTTTTAAAAGTATTTGTTTAGAATGTATCTTTCAAAATATAAATGTATATATTTTTGTTATATGTGTATAACTGTGTTATTAGGTTTAAAGCATTGTACAATACTCCACATACGTATCAGAGAAAAAGTACAAACATTTAATTTTATTATACATTTACCTTGACGTCATGGTGACGAACTATATTGCTGAATAGACGACTCGTGAATACCTTAAACCATAAAAACAGAAACAATTATGGTTCGTCTAGCTTGTCTGCTTAGAGAAAGAGTATCTTATAAAACTTTCACAATATTCTCAACATGTTACTCCTAATACTTATTAATTCGAACATAAATTAATGACAGTGCTATTACTGGATCTCACACACACACACAGGAACTGACACCGAGCAAACTCTCCTCTGGCATTCTGGAGATCGTTATCTCCGACCGGAAGAGTAAAATTGCGGTAAACAGATAAACGATTATCGGTGGTTGCGAATAGGGAGGACGGTCGAGGGAGGTCGATCTGGAGAGAGACGGAGAATGGAGAACGGAGAATGGGGTGGCGATGACGAAGCGAGGGCGAGGACTGAGGACGCGTCGCTCGACCGCTGGACGCTGGTCGACGCGTCGGTGGACGTCGGTGACGGCGATGGAACCCCAGCGTTACTTCGCGAGCGATCGCATCGCGCGAATACGCGGGAGGAACGCGGGGAAAAGCGCGGAGCATCGGTTTGAGCGCAATATGGACATAACGAGGCGGTCGGTCGCCGAGGGACGGCTGGGCCGCTGGGGACGGCGGACGATCGACGGCGGGTCGCGCGTACCTGCTCTCTGAAAAACCGTTCTGGCTGTCTGGCTCCGGCTTCAACTGACTCGCGTTGCCATTTCCGCATTGCCGGACACGCAAAAGTCACATCACGCCGCGCGTAACGCGAAACTACGCTTACGCTTGTCAAATTTCTCGGAGAGAAACTCATGTTACAAGCATCAAATTTATACTGACAGCCATATTGCTGGGGAACCTGAGTTTTGTCCCCTGGTTTTGCTCTCATTGGCCGGCGGTGCGCATGTCATCCGCCGACCGGCCAATCGCCGCTCTCCCCGTTCAATAATCGCGAGGGATGGCGAGGGCACGCGTTTCCGACTCCGACTCCGAATACTCCGATCCGATCTCCGATCAACTCCGAACTCCGAATCCGAACTCCGATGCGCGACGCACGAGTCGCACGACGAAGCGCGAAACGCGACAAGTATTTGCTTCAACAGACGTCGTTATCGATTTTTGCAAATTTTTATCAATAAAATAATAAAATAATCTTACCTCTATGTAATTTAATAATAATCAATTCTTTTAGCGTGTAACTAACGCGCGTTGCGTTATTAACTGCAGTTCAATGATTCCGGAATTAATTAGAATTAATGTTTAGAAAGACCACGTGCGGTCTACTCAATTTAATGGGTTACTAGTAATCAAGAAAATGCACTAAAATGTTAGAATCTAAAAGAATCAGGGAGAGAAAGGAAAATGAAGAATATGAAATATCGAAATATAAGGTTCGTTGATAATGGCTCTAACATTGGTAACACGTCTTTCTCCCAATTCACTAATAATAATATATTATGTACTAAATATTTTTTTTGTGCTGTGCGCTTACATTTCGCGAGATAAAATATGTATGAGCAGATGATGTATAGAAACTACTGGAAGAAGGAAAATCCGTTGAAAAAACACAAATATTACATTAATATAGATTACACAATTAATTATATTTACTAAAAGAAGTTAGAACTTTGTTCATATATTTTAAAGCGACGACATGTCCATGCATAAGCAATTAAGCTTAAAATATATGCATATCTTGAAATGCGTCATAATAGATATGCAACAGATATGACATGTCCAGGATATACAGAGGCTGATACAGGCTGACCAAGGCTGACTAATAAAAAAAAACGTAGCGATAAAAAAGTATATATAATTGCTGTATATGCGCCTGTTTCTTGAGGTCAGCCCGAAACAGTAACAGCGCGGCGCGCTAGCTAGAATTCTTTCTCTTCTACATTTTTAATATATATTTAAAATATTTAAAATAGTCTTGTTAATTATTAATTAACAAAAATTATATTAGTCAGCCTTGGTCAGCCTCTGTATATCCTGGACATATCATACCTGTTGCATATCTATTATGACGCGTTTCAAGATATGCATATATTTTAAGCTTAATTGCTTATGCATGGACATGTCGTCGTCGCTTTAAAATATGAACAAAGTTGTAATTTCTTTTAGTAAATATAATAGCAATGAATATGATGTAAATAAATAGGTGTTCGAAGTTAATTATGCATCAAATATTCTCTTTTTTATTTCTATTATTATATTACTTCGAATCGGTATTACTTTTCGCTAGTGAATGCAGAAAATCACTTTTATTATTTGTTTGCTGATCGCTAATCATATATATGTATATGTATATAAAATGTTAACGATCAACAAACAATATATATATTATATATGCTACATTACTGGTTACTTCATCATACAAGCCTATTCAAATATATTAAATTTTTTGGATCTATATATAATCTGTACTTTTATTTCAAGTCGAGTTATTTTTCTACGGTTTTCGTAATGGAACATGAGATATACTTTCTTCCTAAAAATTTATTTCTTTAAAATAGCTATACGTTTTTCAACCGATTCATTATGTATATTATTTTGTATAACTTAGACATCTCTGTATTATAATTTCCAAGAAATAGGATTAGTTTCATTAAACTTTATTGCTACGTTCAGATAATTTTCAATTAACATTTTATATTAGATGGGAGTTAATATAGCCAATATAATAAATTATGTATTTTTGTGCATACTAAGAATATTTATTCAAACGCATCCTAAACAGCTCAACATCTTTCGTGAATAACTGATGCACGAGTTACTTTTATTCTGATCATCTATGGAAGTGTCTAGATATAGAGACACTCTATCACTAATAGAGTACAATTAGTGATACTTGTAGGACTTGTGATGACCTGAAATGAGGAAAAAACAGAACATTAAACTCATACTCACATTAGAAATAGAATTAAAATTCCCTGCGTTCTTCTATACTCACGTAGCTTTTTGTAATTCATTACATAGAACGCAAACATAGAAACCACTACCACTTGGAAGAAAGGAGCTATACCAGTTCGTTTAGGCTGCAAGTACTTATGCTGCCAACGCCAAAACGCTGCAAAACAAACGAAATAATATTACAATAGAGAATTTTTACGCACAAGTTATATTCTACAAGTTATTCAAATATTGTTTTCCGAATGGCAGATCAAAGTTATGCAATTTTTGACCGATGGGTTCTTTCTTGATTAGAAATACCTCGGGAGCACAGTGCCGCAAGTGCCTGTGGACTCTTTTGTCGTCTCGCGATCCAGGCAGGGATCTCGTTGAGTTTCAGATCCAAGAACGCAGTGTCAGCTGCATGAAGAGAAAGGCGGTTATTATATAATATTATTAATTGTGTCCAAGGAAAAGACGTACACGCGTCAGATGTGACGAACAAACTCACGCTTTCCATAATAACGTGCAGGATCATACGGCCCGTGTCTCACAAAATCGTATTCCGCAGGATAACCACCGATCTTCAGTTTATCCGCCATGGTAAATTATCGGGTTTTTATAGAATGAATTTCACGATGTTATCGGACAAAATACATACATTACATATACACGAATGTGCAATGTGCAATGCCAATCACAGGCGTAGATGGGCATCCGGCATAGATAAAAAGCGTATATTGAGTATTCCTTAATCCTCAAATTTAATTATAGATGGCGCGTGAATCTGTGGTTAAGTGGGGGACTCAATTGACCAATCGTCAATTGGTTGATTTAAAATGAAAATATCTGATTGGTTGGTCCAGTGGACAAACTACAGGCACCGTGGGCTGTGAGTGGCTGTGACGAAACGGGACGCTCGTCTCTCTCTCTCGGATTGCAGTGCGCCACGGAATCGTCGGATCTGGCATGGCGGTTCAGATTACGGAAAACTGATATATCAAATGTTTATTTAATACGTGTGCTTCGCGGAATTTATGCGGATACTGAGGTATGTCGCATTCGATAACATTGACTTTCGATTAGATTAACGTCTTTCGGACGATCGATCTCGCTTTTCTCAACCGTCAACCTGACTTGCGTCGTGTCGCGCGGCTTCAGAATGAAGTCGCCGTCATTTTCGAAACACGGGTAAAGAAGCTAGGATCGAATGACGCTGACGCCTGGTGACGCCGCGACGTGTTTATTGCCTTTAACCTCGTATTTAATCGTGTTTTGATCTTTGATTTTTGGCGATCGTGGAGGATAGACACAAGTAATGTTCATAAATCGGTGAATTGCAGATAATTAAAATCGCCTCGCAATTCGCAATCATCAGTAAAGCAGCGATCGTGCATATTATTTTTGGTTGGCATGTTCCGCGGATATTTCTCTTTGACCTTAATTCATACATTTATTCGTCTTTTACGCACTCTTACGTCGCTTATATTGCAAAATACGTAAAAGTATATAATTTCGTTGTTCAAAGTGCAAAAAGTATAGGTGTAGGAGCAGCAAGTGTAGCATCTACGCGATCGATATTGCCTAGCATCTGACGAGTGGCGATCAGTGGCGAGTGAAGTTGGCCGCGCGATTTACGAAATTCTCTCCGCCATGTTCGATCGACGATCACAGGACTCACTCGTCGCGTCTACCTGCGGGATGTCACGGTCACGGGTGTCGACTGTCGAGCGAATCGTAGCGATCGTAGCTTCTCCGCTGTAATTCTTCCGTTGTAATTATAAGCCGCGTCGCGAGATTAATGCCGGGAGTGCCGTGCATAGTGTTGAAAATATCGCGCGACAAGTGACGATATCGTTGATTTTCGCATGTGAACATTGTGAACGTCGCCGCGTCGTGAGTCGCGAGTGAGTGCGCCGACGGAGATGCGACAACGGATCAACGGAGAAGGGCCTGGAGGATCGAGGAGAGGAGGAGGCGGCCTGGGAGGCATCGGGCGACGGCGGAGCAACCTTGGGGTGAGTATAGTTAAATTGTTATTCGTCTATTACTTTTGCGGTCCTGTCAGTTCTGTCAGTCCTGTGACGGAATATCCGCCACTTTCTCAAGCGCGCAACTTTTGATTCGTCCATTTTACGATTACATGATATTCGTTAATAATATTATCTTGGACACCCACTTTAATGTAAAAATATTTTTATGTTACAGATCAACGCAGGGTTACAACTTACAACTCCGCTGTTGCGCATCGGCCGGTGAGTTATTTTTTGTGTCAGTGATAGTGATCATATTTTTATGGGGCCGCGGCCTCATATGCCATTGCAATATGTAAGATGAAAGTACACGATTGTACGTATAATTGATTTCTAACTTTAAGGGGTCATTCTACTTTGACGGCCCAAAAACTAGGCTATTTTTAACCATTTTTTTTCCACAGTAAATACATCATATAATGAAATGATTTTTTGGGGGATTTATTAGGGCACTCTTAAATAACACGAAAAAATTTTTGTCATAATTAAAAAAATTGTTTACTTTATCGTTTTTACAGTGTCAAAATGGCGTGTCAAAAAAGATGCAAGTCCGCTGCGTTGATCAGTTTTTTTATTCAGGGTTACCTGAAATAAAAAGTCAAAAAGATTCTTAATCTGTATGAGTGTCGCTATGTAAGCCTGAATGAAAAAACTGATCAACGCAGCGGATTTGCATCTTTTTTTGACATGCCATTTTGACGCTGTAAAAAACGATAAAGTAAAAAATTTTTTGGTGTTATTTAAGAGTGCCCTAATAAATCCCAAAAAGATTCATCTCATTATATGGTGTATTTACTGTGAAAAAAATTGTTACAAATAGCTATAGTCGTCAAAGTGGAATGACCCCTTAAATAAATAACGTCGCATACGGTTTTTATCTAAAGAGAAATATTTCTGTATTTCCAATATCGTAAACTTACGGTGTTTTTATTATCTATTATCGAAAGGGCAATACTTGATTTCGTGATTTTGAATAAATTATTTCCTTTACTAATGTTCATTTTTTTTTTATACAAATGCCGAATATTCTTGTTCCATCTCGTTCAGCATGTTGTAAAGTCGTTTCTGTAAGCTGTCTGGCGCTGCCGCACGTGGTAAATGCGTCGTGCCGCCGTCTGGATTAGCGCATTGTCTCAATAACACTGCCAATGTGCTAGTAGTATGCTCTGACATAAGCAACCCAGGAATAATTATCGTCCCTGAGAGCGTCCAGCCGAGAAAAATCTTTTCGCAAATAATCTAGAAGCACACATAACTTTTACGACAAAAATAAGTACAAAAAATATAGAAAACTAATGAAATTTAACAAATATAATTACCTGTAAATTATTATTGAGAACCGGAGACTCGCAGCGTTTATTCTTCGAGCATACCGACCGGCAGTCGAAGTAATCACAGTCCTCGTGTTTTTCGCAACTCTTACCGTCGTTGGTGATGCGATCAACGATAGATTTGGGGAAGACCGCGTCCAGATCCAAGAATTTCAATTTTTGCCCGCCTAATGGTAAACCGAAATGATTGATTTTCACGTCGCAGAGATAAAGCGGCTCGGGAAAGTCCGTCTTTAGTTCCTCGAGTAGATTAAGAATCATCACGGCGAGCTTGAGCCTTTTAGCCCATTCGGGTTTCGAGTCGGACAGGGCTAGCACCGTCGTGGGTGTCTCGATCGGCCGGACGTATTCGACCGCGTAAAACGTTCCGCACGTGCCGATCGGCTGGGCAAACACGTCTCTGTCTTCGTACAAAATCGCCATTAGATATTCATTTTCCTGTAGCAGCGGCCAGAGATTCTCCATCTCCAGCTGACGTCTCACGGCGTCGGTCTCGACTCGGTGGGTGCGCAATCGGGCGAGTCTTTCCAGTTGATGTCGCGAGAGAGTCACGTTCAATTTATTGATAACCAAGTCCTTGATCATGGTGATAAAGTCCTCCTCAGATGGCAAGTGCCGCGAACCGGTCGCATCTATCCAATAGAGCGATTCGAATTGTTCCGAGGATGTTTTCGTCCTAATTCGAGATAAGACAATTAAAATTTTTTAATAATTAAAATTAATAAAATATGAAAATATAACGCGAAAAAGAGGAGAAAGAAACAAAAACGCGCCGTCCCACTTCTGAGCCATTCCACATAGAATAGAACAGTGTAAAAAGAGAACGAAAGAATACCTCGAAGCCTTGAATACGAGCCGCGTCGCTTCCCAATGCGCGGAGAAAACGGCCTCCTTGCCCACGTGGAGCGTCTCACATGCTAGCGAGTGTATCCCTTTTTCGGTGCACAGTGGTTCGCAGAGAATTCCCATCGCGGTACCATCTCGGTGCTGGCTGCACTGAAATGAAAATTATATGATCAGATGCTGTGCGAATCGGATAAGTGAAAAGATTTCAAGTTCATCGAAATCGAAAAAGAGATATTCTGGAAAAACAAAAAATGCGTCACGCATACAATGACATGGAGTTGTGTATTTTAGTCTATGCATAAAATAAACTTCTTACATCAATGCTAACAATAAGCATTAGTATATTGATGATTATTTATGAATAATCATTTCTCTAAAACTAGAATATTTATTATAACCATGATTTATTGCAAATCTTTTTATGTTTATTATTATGTTTCTGTTTATATTAAATGCTACTTCAAATTAAATTAAATATTTTGAAAAAACTCAAAAGGGAGAAACATTGAAGTCCAGTTGGTAATTAGTAAACATTATTTAAAACCTCTCTCTCTCTTTCTCTAAACAATTTTGTCTTTATCTGATAAATTTTTTGGTGCTATTTCGCTCCGAATAAATATTAATCTAATGACAAAACTGGACAAACGCGTTTTAACACTCATTTCAGTGGACAGTTTCTTTCCGCCACGCGCTGTCTGAATCGCGAGAATTTCGGAGCGACGAAAGATCACGGTTCTCTTGCGCGTGTGGTTCATATTCGTGCGAACCACGTATTGCACGCGTGCATGTGCTACAACCTCGTAACGTTGGACGAGCTCGTTGTTTGTGTGATATTTTTAGTCGGCCTAATCGGCAACGATGAGGGAACGGTCTCGGGAGGGGACGGCGCGACTTCTCGGCTCCCGTATAGACATGTCATGCGTGCCTGCACATTCTGCGCATCCGAGGTCCGAAGTGGTGCTTATTGAAAATGCTCTCGAGAGGAAGTGACTTATCTCTCATTACGTTTTGCTAGTAAACCAACGCTTTAAGATATATATATTGCTGTGGAATTTTGGTTTTGTTTGTGTTATTGTTAAAAAAAGTACATCTCTGTACTTCTCTGTTCTCTCCAATAGAAATAGCTTTCATTATAATAGAGATATTTTAAATTATTAGGTTGAAATTTTTTTTATATATTGCGATCTTTATTTTTATAATATCTTTTAGTTCAATTTTAGTTTGAGATGACCATTTATGTGGAAACATACGTATATACGACTTTTCGACCTATATTCATTGGATGTCTTCTATGTTTAATGAATACTATTTGTTCTTTGATCCTCTTTTTTAACGCTCAGTAGGTGAAATAACCTGCACATCTTTCCTCTTTTCCTCTCTCTCTTTCTCTTTCTCTCTCTCTCTCTCTCTCTCTCCCTCTCCCTCCCTGTATCATTTATTTCACAAATACAGTGAAAATATATTATAGATAACTATAGAAATTTTTAGAATAGTTTGATAACATTTGAATCTTTGGAAAATTTTTAACGAGCGTGTATACAATAAAGCTTGGAAAAATGTACGATGTTATCGCTCACACGATAGGCTTGCGTGTGTCGATCAAGTGTTACATAAGCGATTTTTTCTCTTAATTCTACGCTGCAACAGCACTGTTAGAATGTAATGATTAGTGACATGTAGGACTTAAGTCATATAAGACTTCATCGACATTAGGCCTGATTAGATCGCTGTAGATTAAAATGTTACTGCTTGCAAAAAGACATCCTGGAGACTTTACTTCACAAAATGGAAATAAATGAAGAGTTATTTGCAACAATTTTAATATAATTTTTACACAAAATTTTTAATATATTTCGTAGTAGAAATCAAGTTATTTAATATCGTGGCAAAAATTTATAAATCAGTGTAATAATTCTATCTTTCTTTATGACTCAATGAACTTTAATATATGTGACCTATGTAATTTTTAAATTTATCAGTAAATATTTATTTAAATTCATCAGTAGTTTCAATAATCTCATTCAATTTTTATACATGTATAATTAAAATCTTACTCAAGCGTGGATCGATCTTGGCAAAATTAGGAATATTTTATGGGGATCGATATCTGGAGTATTATATTCGGGTTACTAGAACGCAGTCTTGCCGCTGCAGCAATCTGAGACAATACAAATAAACTCGTTAAGAAAATCCTAAATACTTAACGATCCAGTCAAAGCTACGTAATCCAACCACAAGATAAGCAATATCTCTTAGCTATACACGGTTTTAATTTGTTTTAATTTGTTCTCGCACGCAGACTAAAAAGGAAGCAGAAAAACCGGCTCTGCTCTTAGCCAATTTTTAAGCTGAACTTGTCAGTTTCAGGCCAAATACACTTAACTTCTCTTCCGTACGATAAGTTTATCAGTGAATCATAAACATTTTACAATCTTCATCATAGCAATTTATTTTATCAATGACCTCTGCGAATGTAAGTTATGTTTTGACTGATCTGTGTACTGAATTTGTACTTTAATTCGTTTGCCAACCGGCCATACTTGAATTCTCTCGCGGACAAGTTTATCGGGGAGGATCCGATTGTTGCGTCTTTCGCTTGACGCCATACGCCATGGTCCATACAGAGAATCCGCAAAATGTAAATACGTCATGCGTTTAAATTTACACGTACAAATTCGCCGGGTGCGGATCGGGGCGATGCGGCATGCCTCTTTCGTTCCGGAGGCTGCGGCAAAGTACGCGTGCGTCCGTTTTGCTCTCTCCTCTCTCTCTCTCTCTCCCCCCTCTCTCTCTCACCCCCTTTCGCCGGCGCTGGATCACTCGCAGTACTCGCACATCTTCACTACCTCGACGTATTCACCCCGACGTGCCAACCCTTCCCTCGGCGCAATCGGTATCGCGCTCGAAGATGCGATATCGCGGCGCACGCCGTGACCGCGCCGTCCTGAATGTTCCGATCGGAGTAACACCAACACCCAGTGAAACTCACCACGGTGGACACGTGACGCCAAGCCTCGAGATTCGTGCACATTATGCCCCAATGTAGAAGCAGGTAGACGACGAGGAACAGACCGGACGTCAGGAGGACCGTCGCGAGTTTGTAATGGTACATGAAACCGGGCAGCCGCCGGATGTTCATGATCGCGCTGCCGTTCGTCAGATTCCTGACGGGGATCAAGGTGAGCGAACTTCCGCTCTGTTTTGAAATTTTTCTTTCGTTTCCTTATTTATTTTCTTCTTTAATCTCATCTACGACCCGGCCTCGCGGTCCTCGTCGTCTTCTGCGGCAAAACCGTATTTCGCGTCAACATTTCGTCTCGTAACGTCGGCCTCGTTGCCGCTGCCGCTGCCGTTGATGTTGCCGTTGCCGTTGCCGCTACGACCCCCGGGTCGCGTCGATGACGAACGTTTGCGGCAATGCGGCATAATCCGCAGCAGCGTACGAGAGCGAGGAAGGCGAGCGTCGCGACGTTGCGCCTTGCGCCTTGCGCCTCTCGTGGCGAGTCTCGGCTCGGGCTCGGGTCTCTGCCAGGACCGTATGCCGATCAACAATCACCCCGTAAAATAATATTTGGCGACATAAATTTGAGGATACACATCAGTTGTACAGTATTACGTTCCTCGCTCAGCTTATTGGGGTATGTTTGTAGATATGCGTCTCGAGATGGTCCGAGATTTCGTTGAATCTCTTCTTCATGATCGTAGATTAATTTAAATCGCTTTGCGGTTTATAACAACGTGATTAATTTTGTTGACATGTCATTATCATTAATCATTTGTATGTGATGTCTCGCGAAGGCGCAGCCACCTGACGGTATACATCCGGACTCGCACGAATTGATCTTAAATGCTTAATTAACGTGGCGCAATTAATGCACATGTCTTCTTCAAGACTCTGTGCATGAATAGTACAGTATGATGTAAATATTGCAATGTGTACGCGGCAATTTTTAATTAAGGAAAAATTACAATAATAATTACTCCAAGTGATTTTAAAAGTTCGAGCAAATTTTAAATGTAAATATTCAAAGTGTTCGTTAATATCTTTCAACAGGGAAGCTATTGATATTATAAGATTTATAAAGATAATCTTATTAAAAAAATAATTTTTATAAAGAAGTAACTTTTACCTACTACTTTATACCTGTAAGGAAATATTTTCTATTAATCACAAACCGATGATCTGTTAAAGATTAATATATTAAGTATAATATATTAAGTACTGAGCAATGCTGCGTAATTACATCTCCAAACTATGGCCTCGTCTTTCTAATAATTTTCCACTTCCTCTTTTGAAAGCATGATGAGTACTTGATGGATGTACATATAGTTTTGAAAAATTATAATCCCGAAATTATTTGGAGCGAAACAATATATAAAAGTTATATAATCTCAAAATCCATTTATTTCACCCTAAGTACAATAAGAAAACGCGACTAATTAGAAGAGCGGTCCTCTCTTCTTGCGCTTCTTAATGATAAAACGACGATGTCGCGTTGCGTCATATCCGAAGTACCATCAGTTTCCGAATCGCGCGCGCTACCGAATGCATGTGCGAAGAAGCAAGCGGGAGAGAGAGAGAGATGGAGACGCACCTGCGTACCGCGACGCGCAGCTGCGACCTTCGACGCCCTTGTACCGCCGGCAGTCGTTCCGGCGTGAGAGAACATCGTCGTCATTTTTACACGAGACGTCGCACGTTCACGGTAGAAATCTACGGCCGAGCTCTGTATCATTGTTGTCGACGTTATCGTCGTCGTCGCCGCTGTCGTCCGCCCGGTGCGGAACTTCTTTTGAAAATCCGGTCTCGTCTTTGTAAAGTTGAAGACCGGAAGCGCGGAAGCGTTCCGCCGAGCGGACGTGCGAGCGAACGCGAGTGCATTTCGCATCGTGCAGCTTTGTTCTTTAAAAAAATAAAGGATTAAAAGGGGGAGGACGTCTTCCGGGGAGTCGGTGAGTGCAGCGCGCGATGTGATTGCTTTTTAAAAAAGGATGACCTTTAAATATTATACGAGAAAAATTCTGGTGAGAATGTATAGAGGGTGCCATATAACTGTACTTCACTTTCTGATGCAATCCGAAGTGAAAAGGATTTAACGCGCTTAATAAAGATATTCAATCTTGATTAATCGATATTTTTCAACTGATAAATATCGACTTAAATCTTACAAATGCTTTTGTTTTTAAATTTTCTCAAATTTTCAAATAAAGTAAGTCTTTAAAACTACATTTTTAAAAATTTTCAAATTTTAATTAAATTCTCTCTCAGATTTTTAAATTTTTTAAAATTTTTTAATTTTGATAATTCTGCTCAGAGATTAAATGAATAATAGCGTTGATACTTCATCTCTCCTTATGTCCCATTTGTTTGAAGTCATTAACCCCTCGGTTGGGGGTGAATACAGTGTATAAGGTTTATGTAGATCGACACAACGATATGATTCGCCGCTCTGTAGGGAGTTTGCTTCTTAAGCGCTCATTCTGACGATTTGCTTGATTATATCGGCTTTATTCATCTGGCTTGGTTGCGTTGCGATGCTAATGCTCCGATTTTAATATCGATAATATCGTGAGATAACATTGACTGAAAATTATTTAAAAGATTCGAATCGTTTTTAGATATCAGAGTAAAAATAAAAATGGATATTCAAAATAAGATGTATAAAGACTAATTAAATTTTCACACAGAAAGGATTAAAGGTCAGACTTTTTCTTTTGCCAATGATTATTGTACAACATACAATATTAACAGAGACCGTACGAAAAGAAAATCGCGTCAGCCGAAAGGGAGAAGCGAGAGCGATCTTTGTAATTAATGAAAGAAGGAACGAGGGCCCGACACAGAAAGTTCACCGATTAGACGAGTTATCGCAAACTGGCGGCCCGACAAACCGTTCACGTTCACCAATCGCATATCCCGTTCCCAATAAGATGAGTTTCTTTTCTCTCTCTCTCTCTCTCTCTCTCTCTCTCTCTTTCTCTCTCTTTCTCTCTCTCTCTCTCTCTCTCTTTCTTTTTCTCTCACACACACTCACTCACTCACTTTTTTTGTTTCTCTCGTTGTCAGCACAAGAAAACAGTGCTACTATATGAGACCTTCAACATATGCGTATATCTTGTAGAATGTAGATTATTGCAATTGCTCCTGCACTAACTTAGCACTATACCATGGGACGAAAATAAACGCAATACTGCTTTACGGGCAGGTTGAAGCGATTTGTGGTTGATCCATCTCGCGCGAACGGAAATATGGACTCGTGGCGTGCAGAGTCCATTTGTAATGAAATAGTGAATGATTTAGAGATATCGCAGAAAATTTATTCGCAAAATAGACTTTGATTTCTTTATGTAAACTTTAATTGAGTTTTTGAATTAAAAGGTTTAAATTCTTTGATAAATAATTTATCTTTGTAATGAAAATATTTGAATGTAACTAATTACCTTAATAAATTTTAATGTTACCTCTTGGGCAGACGCGATTTACGAGCGTTTAAGATTGTCACAAGAATGCTTCTCCGATTAATCTCCATGACAAAAAGAACAAGGTTAGTCTTTGATCTTTTATGTCTAACAAGTCGTTGAAGTAGGTTCGCCTTTGACCTTTCATCTTCTTTCTCTTTCTCCTCTTTTTCTTCTTGCTCACCTGCATGCATTCACATTTCATGTTGTATTATTTGATATTTCTAGTTGCTCGAGGAGGCGCGAATCGCAGTCACGATCAAACATCACGTCCCGCCGATCGCGCGCAATCGACCGATTAATCGCGTGCAGACGCCCGCCAGACTGTAGATCGCGATTGACAATGAGATCTCCCAGCTGATAAAGGTCATGGTCTGCCATTTCTATATCGTATTGACCGTGATCTTGAGTGGAGGACTGTAGAATAAATATCGCATTCCTTATTTTCCAAGATTTATGGTAAAATTGATTGAATCTCTCGTCTGTGCGAATAAAAAAGTCGTCTAATCTTTTTTATCTCAAAAATTTAATCCGATGCGTTAGTTTTGCTGCATCTTTTTTGAAATTTTTGCAGAAATAATATGTAATAAAAATAAGAATAAGAATAAGTTACGTTTCTAATTTGATATTGAGAGAAAGATTGGATAATGAATCTTGTTTCTATATGTGCTTTTGGATTGAACGACCGTTAGTCCAGGGAAATTAGACGAAAAATGACAAATCTGTGAAAAAACTCGCACCTAGCTAAATTTTTGCATGAACCTTTATTTCGTCGTTATCAATAATACGTGAAAAATCTCCATCGATGTGACCCCTGCTAAAAATTTTATAGAGGATCAAAAATAAAAAAAAAAAACCAGTTTTTATTAGTCCTACGGCAAAAATAGTTATTACAAAATTTTAGTTTATAAAATTCTCTACAAAAAACATTTTCCATAAGTTTTTTTAATTGTTTTCGTGTTCTACGGCTTATACAAAGTTTCAACTTTCATACGTTTTAGAGGCCCGACAAAAATAATATATTTATAAGATGTTTGTTTAAGTGAGTAGATGTTTCATTTGAATGTTTTAAAACATTCATTAAATTGTTTATGAGATGTAAATTTAAACATGGAATTGTTTATGAGATGTTCATGGTTACATTTTTTTATGAAGTGTTTAAGTGGCATTTAATGACATAGTCTCAAACGTTTTTATTTTATAGTTTTCTAAGTATAGTTTTCTAAGTATTTATAAAATGTTTGTTAGCAAAGGGTTAACCAAGTGTTTACAACGTGGTTCTAAACGGTGTAAACATAAAAAAAACTCTTTATAAATAGTGTAACCATTGATAAAACTCTTCATAAACAAATATAAACACAATCTCTCATTAACAATTTTCGTCAGGGAGATAATGTACCTACTGTTTTCCATTACCACCTCGGAGGTACAGTGCTACTTTCAACGTATGAAAGTTGAAACTTTGTAAGCCGTAGGACACGAAAACGATTAATCCTACGAAAAAAACTTACGAAACATTTTTTGTAGAGAATTTTATAAGCTACTGTAATAACTATTTTTGCCGTAGGACTAATAAATAAAGAGATATTCGCGAAAAACTGTTTTTTTTCTTACTTTTGATCTTTTATAACATTTTTAGCAGGAGTCACATCGACGGGAATTTTTCGCATATTGTTTATAACGACGAAATAAAGGTCCATTCAAAAATTTAGCTAGGTGCGAATTTTTCCGGAGACAAATCCTAATTTCACTGGACTATGTCTTACAAGTGAAAGTCACCTTGATGAACACGATCTTCGAACCAATATGTGCCGGATAGATTTTCCTTAAATATGTCACGCCTGTGTTAACGGTCCTCTCGCTTAGAAGCCGCTTTTCTCTCGCAACCAATACTTGAAAGAGGTCATTGTCAAGGGATCGTTTCTTTCTCCGCAAATCTACTCAGCACTTTATGAAGTTTGTCTCGCGAAGATTTTTCGCTCTATTTCAAGAAATGCTAGATTTATTAATTTAATTCACCAATCAAAAATAATTGTTATAGCACCGAAACAAATGGCATTTACAAACGCTCGTAAAATATTTCTCACGACACTCATCGATCATTAAGAGGTTAATTACATACGTACTTCATTAATGCAGTGAAGGTTGAAAAATGCAATTTCTATTACGTGATCGCCCACGATTAGCTTGTCTAGAAAAGAAACTTTATGATTTATGGTCAGCTTAAATTGAGTATAGATTCAACAGGCATTTCCATATATACTTACACTTTATTATTCGTAGTTTAATTTCGTACATGTTAATGCATGAAATATTATTGCAGAACATGCAACTTTGATAAGAATAAATATTTTCTTACATAAATTGTTAGATTATGTGTGATTGTTGTATATACTTGCTTATATTACTGCTTGGATTAAAGTTAAAAAAAAAAAAAACAGAAAATATTTTTCGAAAAAGAGAAATTTTTTCGTAAAATTATTTTGAATCAATAGATTTATTGTTACTATTTAAAATATCATTTTTACGCATTATATATCTAAAATTAGTATAAAATATCTTTCAATTTTCGTTATTGATCTTCAGAGTTTCTTCAAGCTGTATTATCGGCATTACTTTTTCGATGGTAGCAATAGGTGCTGGGACATCTTGTATATGGAGAATTTTTACTTTTTTTACAAGAAGTCAAATACTTTTACGTAAGTCAAATATTTATCGCTACTTATAGCATCAAACTCGTACAGCACTCGTTGTACAAGATGAGTCACTTAACAAATTTAAATAAATTTTAAATGGCGCGTACCGTTGTACGTAAAAAAGTTTTATATAAAAGTCACATGCTTTCCAACGTCTTTCGCTCTCGGTCTTTCATTAGGGTAAAGAGCAATCTTCTTTTTTTCTTTCGATTATGTTTTATTTAAATATTTCTTCTTAACATATAATTGGGATGGGTTCTTTAATAGGAGATTTAAATGTACCATAAAAACGTTTCTCACTATCACGTATTGATCTTATAAACCGCGGCAAGGAAGAGGAACAAACTACAACGTGTCGCGCCGATTGCGTCGATCGTGCGTGACGATTCACGGTAGGTCGGCGCGTTCTTGCAGACGGCAAACGCCCGACAGAACCGGGCAGGGAGTGGTTACACGTTACACAGTCGCTGAGAAGAAAAAAAATTAAACGAGACGGACGGAGGGGAGAGAAGGGGGGAGAGGACGAAGGTGGAGGGTCGATTCTGTCTCGCGGTGCATCGTCGAGTGCAATGGCCAATCGGCCAACCGCATTTTCATCCTTCCGGCGCGGCGGCACGCCAGTAATAACGACGTTGATTTGCTCGATATTAACACGGTCTCGAATCTATGATTACATCATTACATATATAGCGCTCGATATACGAATTATGACGGATAAGAGGGAAGAAAGGAAGTATAGGGGCGAGAAAGGACGAAAATGTTCGCTTTTATGAGGATGTACTATCGCCGAGCGGGAATTATAATTAATGAAAAACGAATGCTCGTGCTTGTTGGAGAACGCCCGCGAGTGCCGCACAACGGGCGCGTTTTCTTCGCAAAAAGACGAAAAATACGATTTTGTCATCTACAATACTTTTATTTTATTAAATCTCTTTGAATACTTATAAAAAATTTAGCCTCTAATCGAGAAGTCGAAGCTCAACGTAGGTCGGATACAGTTACATCCGGAAGTGTTCGCACGTAGGCGTTTTGGTTTGTCGCGATGGAAATCGATGAAATCATGAGATTAGATCAATAGAGGGAGGTCGATGTCGCGGCAGGAAGTAAAGCCGCCGCATAATTTAATAATATTACGTCGTCCTCTCTTCTTCTTCTCTCCCTCTCTCTCGATTGCTGATTTACTATCTCTCTTGTCACGAGTAATACCGAAAGATGTACGCGCAGGCGTTTTCTTGATAAAAGGCAACCTTTTATCAGGCCGGATGCGTAACATACACCGTGTTATCTTATTTTGTTTTCCGCGTGCACAACGCGTATACAAAAATATTCATTATTGGCAGTACGATACGCGCCGCGCCGCCTTGCGAGGCGACTGAAAATCGGAGCCGTATCGCTCCGATTTACGACCTGGGTTCCTGGGTATCTCCTGGGTGTGTGCGTGATTTCAGGCATGGACGCACTCAACGAAAGCAGACGCGCCATTCTCGATCGCTCGTGTCAGCATGTCAGCAACTCGAACGCGCCGATTCTCTTTTTAGAAACGTCATAAATTTATTCCGGATCGACTCTTTCGAAATCGCATCTTCGAAGATGCATCTCCGAAGGTACGATAATAATGTAAATATTGTAAATTTACATGGTGTGCTCAATCCTTGGATAACTTTCTAACGAATTTTTCAAAAATTCAACCAGCCAAAAGATGCTTTCGATCATTTTAAATTAAATATTATCGAAAGATGACTTTAATGTCTTTCCAAAAATTATCTAAAAAAAGAAATAAAGATTTGATTGAAGATATTGTAAAAAAAATATTGTTAAAAATATCGTAAGAATTTAAAACTTATTTTAGACATCCAAATGTTAAAAAGATTGGCGAATGGGTAAGATAAAAAACATTGATATAGCGTGGTTTTTCCTAGTAAAGAAATAATCAAATCCTATCTGATATGTACACTTGATAATTTCTTCATATTTTGACATTTCATATCTGTGGTTTTAATACGCACATACAACAAATTGTTCGTTGAGGTCGAAAATTTTCTATTTCTCGATCTAAGCTTTAGATTGTATTTTCAAACGATAAGATACGAAGTCCAGTTGTGCCACTTCTCCGACACGTTCCGTACATTATTCCCGACCAGTCCGACAGATTGATCAAAGTTTCTCTGCTTCCACCCCTCTGCGTGATTCTTGAGTCTCTTGTCTGCTCCAATACTCTTTCTTCTTCTTCTTTTTCTTTTTTTTATTGGAGTATTCGTACATACATGTACAACATCGCACATCGTGTTCAGCGAGATCCGTCGATGTCTGACGAAGTGCAAGCAGTTATCAGTCGCCTTACAAGCGGTTGCTATGCGATATGGTAGGGGTTCTCGGAGTCACCTAGCTCGACCAGTCAGAAGTCAGTGTGTGTAAGAGCCGGCCGGTCGTGCCGGCTCCTTTTCCTGTCCCTGTTTTCGCGCATACGTTCTTCTCGCGGCGCCGTCGCGACTTTATCGCTCCGAAAAGAGAATCCTCGTCTCGACCTACGTCTCGACGCGTGACGGAACGACCGCACGGATCGATCGCGAGAACGATCCGCAACGAGCTAGAAGAAAAAAAAGAAAACGGCATCTCTTTGTAACTATATTCGCGTTCGGTTCTCCAAATTGAATATCGACGCCCAAATCCCGTTAAGTTCGAAAGAGCCCACACTGAAAAGACTCGTGGCACTTTTGCGACGAGACCGTTTTCGAGAGACCACCAACAGCAAGGTCACTTTCGAGTTCACGGTAGCGACATGTGTTTAATTTAGATTCCGTGTTGCTATCGGTGTCAATGCCGGTATCGGTTACCGGGATAGAATATTCAAAAGAAAACAAACACACAAAGACGAAGCAGGCAGATTTTAAAAGAGAATTCTCTGAAAATGACGAGCGAATAAATGTGCGAAAATAACATAGCTTATTAAATTGTATTGTGTTGTGTGTTGGCTTCGTTCGTGTGAGGTCACTATCATATCACATGGCAGAACGTCATGAGCGTTAACACTTCTGTCGCAAATTCGTCGCGTGCGAAGACGCGGAAATGGATATGATTTTTAAGAATAAATCCTATCGCTCGATCGCACTGATAAGTAGATAATGTTCTTCGATGTTTGGTGAATTGCAAATACCCCGAGTGGCCTGTACGGAACTCCATGATCATCAACGGTATTACGATTGGTACATAATACATTACTGGCTTGTAAGTTCTATTACGGTACACGCAAGTTTTTGGATGAGAAATAGTCGATTAGTACACGATATTCGACTCGGTTTTGCGGAGAAAAGTGATCATGACACAGAGAGGAATCCAGGATGGGTCAAAGACATCTGCGGAACAAACTAAATCGATGGTAAATAAAAATATCGTTTATCCTTTTAATATTTATGTTTAAAATACGTTTCTAATGATAATAAAATCTTAACCATCTGGACATATAAAAATTTTGTTTTGAACTGACTGAAAAATGATTCTTGTTAAGAAATCGCAGAATAGGTATTGGTTGTTCTTCTTTGCTTATCGATTGCGTATTTCGAGTCTTCGAAGTTTCGTGTGAAACTTGTATAAAAATCTTGCAACATTTTATGGGAAGGCATAACGAGTGTTCATTATGCAATTTGTTGCACTTGCGTGCGATGCATCTTGTGAGCGCACTATTTTCATAGAATTTACGTCTCGCGTTAGGGTGTTGGGGAGGCTTTCCGAGGGTTGATGATATGGTCTATAAGATTATTCCTCTCGAGGCGATACATGACATGAATGAATTAACATTCCGCGGTAATGCGAAGGTCGGCCCGATAGCGGAGAGCCTTCTTGAGCGCCTTGACACCGAAAACAGAAATCGTCGTAAACTGCATTCGGTTGCGTTGGATCTATATCATTGTATAATCTGTATCTTCGCCGAGGAGGTGGCCGTTATGATACGCATATGTGAATTCTCGTTGTTTCGGTGACCTCCACGAGTCGAGTAGTCGAGTTTTATTCTATTTGTTTTGATAAGAAAACTGTCTGGTATACATAACGGTCGCGAGGCGCATTTTCATGCGACTATACAATATGCCTTTTGTATTTTCCATATGGTTTTGTATGTGTAATATTATTACGAAAGAAATTAAAATTAAATAAATTTCTTACTATGAAAATTTTATTGCATAAAAAATTATGTTAATTTTTTAGAAAATAGCTTGATCTTTGATCAAACATTGGATCAAAACATTACTGTAAAAATATCACGTGTATCGCTGTGTCGAGTTCTTTATATATTACGGTCACGTTATGACTGTGATCTTTTATTATGAAGTATCTTATTTACAACGGATAATTACATACATTTGAATTGCACTTCTCTTAACGCTGACAAATCACTTTCGTTACCAATAATTTTCGCATCAATATTAACGCTTGGTTAATTATACGCGCGATTGTAGATAATCGCAAAGGCGTTTTAGAAAAATTATGCACAAACATTTCTTGAAAATAATGCTGACATTTGCAGTAATAGAATTTTCCATGTATCATCTATAGTTATTGCAACGACGATGAATGAATGAATTCTTCCTCTCTTCGAGTGCGCAGACGCTTTGTTGAAGATAAACTGTGAATTTATTACCGAGCAGATGCAACAAACGTCGATAACCGTGATAATTTCCCTTTCCTTGACTCAGAACAATGTTTCGTTAATGATATAACGAATATATATCAAGAAGTTTCTCTTAGCAGCTTCTTATCGTGCAACTTTAATCGTTTTAGTTTCCGTCCCTCTGCATCTTCTTTTCTTGTGTATATCGAGTTCAATTACTTTTTCTCGATATACAAATATTGATCACGAATTATTCGCTCTTTATTTCATAGATTGCTTATTACACATTTAACGTTTGCACAATTAATATCGGAAAATGACTTATAGAATATTACCTATAGAATTAGATGTCTGTAAAGCATTACATATTTTTACATGTAGTTATTCTTTTAAAATAATTACATTAACAAAATAAAGATTTAGACAATCTAGTTGCATTTTTTGTTGAAATGATAATTTTAAATCCATTTTCTTTATTTGAATGTTCTTATCAAATTATGAAATTATCATTAAGTGCAATAGAGAGAGAATATATTGCGATGACATTTCTTGCACAAGTCTTGCCAGGTTAATGTTATTGCGATAACCCCGCTTTATTGTCTGACTTTTCCAACCAACAATTGATAATATTATTAACAGTTGCAATTTTCAGGAAAATTTAACTTGCGTTATGAAATGTTACTACTAATTTTATAATTATTTTAGTCAAATTTCACGACTATTTTAAATCTCTCTAAAGATTATTTTAACAATAATTAATAAACATTATTTAGGCATTTTTTGAAAAAAACTAAGAAATGGTTTAAAATCATATTACAAAGAAAATTCTGAACAATAGTGCTTTTAATACACTTATTTAAAGCAATAAATATTTAATAATAAATATTGATTAAAGTGATAAAGATTTATTATTGTATTATTATAGTATTATTTTATAAAATGACAAGTTATATTAATAATAAAGTTAAGAATGAACAAGATTCTCTCAACAGGTTGATACACAACAGGTTTATTTTTAAAACACGATCGTGATTATTTTTTTGTCTGCCAGAAAATTGACAACGGTTATTTTATCAAAAATGTGTCGAAAAGTTCAAGGTCCGTTTTGTAGTATACCGAACGTGAGTGGCGTCAATTTATCAATTTTTATAGCTGCTATAAATATGTCAACGCTAATCATTTCATCGCCGATTGCAGACAAGCTTATAACTCGTGTATATACATTGTATATCGTAGAGGAGGACAGATTGGCATAATACACCGATTACGTAAACATATCTATAAAACGGTCGCATGCAGTAAAAAAGTTTACATTTACATATATCTATATCGAACTCGATAATTGTTGGTAATAAACGCTTGATAAAGCGGATGTAAGAAAGTTTCATTTTGTCTCTCAGTTAATGTTGTTTAACAGATCGCGTCATCTCTACATTTCTCACGTCACAAAAATTTACAACTAATATTATATTGTACTACTAGGAGAGAAATATATTAATATAGTTATAATTATAACGTATAAAATAATGTATTCCTTCTCAAAGATTTTGCTACTAGCAATAAAAGATCAGAAAAATGACTTATTCTAATTTAATTAAAAAAATTTTCTATTTTTTTTACTTAATTTTACGAATTATAATGTTCGACTATGTAGGTATATTTTGAAGGATGTAGTTAATTAGTAATATTTGTAATATATATAATTAGTACAGTATTCGTTAGATTTACAAGGCATTTTTCTTTCTGATGCGTATTTGACGAATCGTCTTTCAAGCGCGTTATCGATAGTTCGCGAGCACTTTCACATCAATGAGATAGAAATATCATTCTTTTTATCTTTTATATCGCGGTATTCCTCGTGCCATTCAAATATCACGACCCCAGGATTTGCGTATCATGCACTCTCAAACTTTGGATTCAACCTTAGAAACATTACGAAATCAATTTTTACGTCGGTGAAATCTTATTGTAACATAAATTGTAATAGTGACAGTGCGAAGCTTTCTCAGTATGGAGCGTTTATCACTTCAAGGTGACATTATCTAAAGTCGAGTTGCTGAGAGGAATTATGGAATGATAGATACAATAAGAGCTTTTGCGAAAGTATGACGATTAAGACAATCGTTTAATTAGAACTTGCATAAATGTATACATTTCTTTTACGATTATTATCGTAGTTTTAGAGAAATTTACATATAAATGTTATTTATTTAAATTTGCCATAAAGAAATCTTGTTCTCCAAATGTCAAAAACATTTTTTTTTGTATACAAGTACTGACTATCTTATTATTGCATCCAGTGAAACGCATCTGCGATTGTCTGTACATTCACCGTCCAACGGTATCCGATAAAATTCGTCATACAAATTACATTCTAATTATAGTACGTACATCAATATTTTTTACGCTGCGTAGTCGTTACCCCGAAATAAGTTCTCTTTTCTTCACGCTGCTTCTCTTTTCTTCACTTTTGTCAACAAAGAAATTTATAAAGACGCGTTATCGTCTCATCACAATTTACAAGCAAGCGTGCTCCGAATGTCATGTCCTGCACCAAATAATATCTGTTCTGCGGTAATTAACGCGCTATTTCGAGCTGTTTCTTAGCTCTCTATATAGGATCTGATAGACAATGTAGAGGCGAAGAGCTCTTCTGCTGCATTTTTAGTCTATTTGTCGTTATAATGTAATAATTTTTGTTTTTTATTATTTGCTGATAGTATCCTGGCATTGAGTTGTCACAAGTGATTGGGGATACGAAAAGATAAAATTGGAAAAAAAAACTTTAAATATACCATACTTGAAATTGTATTTTTGTGAATAAAACGAATCTTAACCCAAGATGCATTTCAAGAGTAACCGGTCATAGAAGGAGTTAATTATAAGAGTTAACCGATGTTGATGCTTTACACTTTGCTGACGAAGATAGGCCCAGCTACGGCGAAAGCTTACGTGAATCGTAACCGCTAGTTAGCGTCTTGTACCACAGGCTTTTGCGATTCAAATAATTCACATCTGATAATAAACGTCGTGTATATAATCATTTACGTTCTTACACATTGAATAAAGATGATTATTTGTCATTTTGATTCAGTCCGTTATATTATGATGCAATTGCTAAGTGCATGCATTAGCAGCATTTCGACAGTGTTGAAACAAACTACTCAATATTTTATTTCAAAATTTTTTGCAATTATAATTATTAAGTTCCGTGTAAAAATGTTTTATTATTAAACTATTAAATAAGAACTATATTATAATATATATGTATAATCTCACATTTATTTTTAAAATTATGTTAAAAATAAGATTCTTGTTTAATTTCCTTTTCTAATGTTTTATTTACAAATTGTTAGAGTTCTGAAAATCTTTAAAAGTATTTCTATCGAGAAAAACTATTTCCAAATAAAAAGATTAATTTTGTTATTATCAGTATTAATATTACTGATATATTTAGGATATAATAATTCAATTTTAACAACTGTAATAATTTCTTCTCATTAAGTAATACATATTCACATTTGTATTCGATTGCGTATTAGCTACATATAATATCCGAGATAACTGATGACATAAGTTTTCTATCATTATCCGTTTTGAAACACATATACAAAAGGAATGCATTGGAATTTAATACAATTGATTTCCGGACACGAATGGATTACGCAGGCCACCCAGCGATAAATATTGGTCGATATATCACGTTACACGACCTATCGCGCAATGCTAACTTGATAACATCGAGGCGGGCAATAATGTACGATTGTTGAATTGACATTTATTGTATGAGATAATGACCTTTCTTATCGGCACGATACTTGACGTGATTGTTTAGAACATTATATGTGCGTAGAATAATATTTCTGATAGATAAAAGCTTTTATTAATGTACATAATTCGTAACTTCGAAAATCGCTGAATTTTCAAGAAAACAATTCGTATAAATAATTCAGGCGTTGTGTTAATCAAATAATTTATCATTTTGAATGGTTTTTGAGCAAAATGGTTTGGTTCAGTACAGATAGGCGCTCAAATGCCTTATATGCATTTGTATGAAGCTGCGGAGAGCATTCATATAATGTGAGCCAGGGTGAAGAATGTAAGTTTAATTAAATTTTTGTGTTTCTGGCCATCGTGTAAAGAAATGCATTCATTTCTTTCGCTAATAAAATCAATTAAATAATAAAGCGATATTGATTTCTCCAAGCATCTGCCAGAGGCGCTTACGCGGCTTAAAAGCTGAGTCACGCGAGCGTCTTTATAATGAGGATTAATTTCGTCTTATACATTTGGCAATGCAGTATCGTGCTGACCCGCGAAAGGACAACGATGAGAGAATTTATTCGAGCTACCGCGAAGTAGATAAATCTTTCTCAGATAGCGTTAGATTAACGACGTATGCTCTCAGTTCTCGGAAAGCTTCTCCGTGATAGCTTCTCCGTGTAGAACCTCGGGCGAGGTGAAATTTGTGAGAAGGAAATGCCTATTTCGCCAGAAACATTTAGATTTTTGTTTCGCCGGGGCAGAATGTTGGTCCGTCTCAAGTTACACGCTCGCGGTTTCGTTCGTTTAACGGGAAAATTATTTTTAGCGTGAATCGCGCTTTGACGATCGCGATTCGACGTGTAAATGAAAAGGTGCGTGAACCGCGTGATTGTTTGCGTTTATTCACGAATTTTTCCCCACTCGTAGTTTCACCACGCTTTTCGGACGTCCTACTGGGGACCAACTACGCAAGAAGTGCATTTTGGGACGCAGTGCGACATATGCCGATGAGCGATGTCCATGCACGAGGTATGCGCGTGTCTACGTACGTTACTTGCCAAAGGATATTTGGTTATGTATATTAAAGCGTCGAATGTCGTTCTCTTTTTGTCTTGTTATTTTATAGCTGTCAATAAAAAGCTAATTCGCGTAGCTGGCAATCGTAGATCATCGGAGCTCTCGAATCTTATTCGAACGTGCCCATCCGCCAAGCTACTCCAAGTGCTATTAATGAATGTCTTGTTAATAATGATACATTCGACCTTGCTCTGTTAGATATAATCACATTGCAATTACATTTATTTAAATTTTGTTGTTATAAAAATATCAACTAGATTAACTAACCAATTTTTTAACTTAACTAACCAAATTAATCAATTCTGTGACTGCTGTTTGTTTAGAAAATTTTTCCACGAATACTGTAATTGATTTGAGATATTTAGATATAAGAAGGGGAAGATTTTTAAAGGATTGAGAAAATTGTGTGATAGTTTCTTCATTAGAAGTAAATCTAAATTAAATAGCAAAGCGGTATATCTCTATTAATCGCGACTGATGGCCAATTAGTTTTATCTCTTATTACTTATACATTTTGCAATTGTTTGCATATATACATATACATATCGAAAAGCAGACTGTCATTAATTTATGAAGTCGCTTATTTTATTCGAACTGTACATTCACAACGTTGTCGAGATAAGGAATGAATTTTCTAGTGAGGCTTTCACGTGTCTCCATTCGTCTCTTCATTAGAAACATATAAAATCGTCCTCTCGAAAGCCGTACAGCTTTCGCAGATTACTATTCTGGCTAAATATAAACTGTGACTTTATTTACTCTTGGCAAGAAGTCGATCCTCGTCGGCCTCGAACTCGAGGCATGGCGTTTGCGTGTAAATGTATCGATGCATTATTAATTAGTGTTTTGTTTCCGCGATTTCTATTTATTTTTTGCGAATTTTTTTTGGATTGCGATAGGTTGCGAACACAGGTTTCATCAAATTAACACGAAACTCGAAGACTCACCACTATGTGAACAATTTTTCTTAATAATCTCTACAAATTTTTTTTTGTAATATTGTTAAGGAAGTGCAGGAAAGAAAGTTTCAATTAAAAGTTGAATAATAATTTAAACGTTTGAAGCATTCGCTTAGTGGCGATTTTATCTTGAGATGAAAAATTTACAAAGTTTTATGGGATGACCTGATAATGCGGTTTATCGTTCTATCGCGAATAAACGCGTGCTCAATCAATTAGAGCGAAATCCGAATAAGCAATGCCCGTATAATTGCTCGTTAGAGTGATAAGAAGAACGTACGCAAATTCTAGATCTGTCAGTTTATCAGGCTATTAATGGCACTAAGTCCTTCAATTCATTATTGATTAGTTGAGAAATTAGTATCTACAACAATTCGAGCATGTGATCATGATTTGGTCATTTCTTGTTGTTCAGTCAATATTCAAGTCATGATATCCAACTTATCTCTTCTAATTTTCTGGATTTAATAAACGACGAAGCAACGTCTGAATTAAATAGTAGATGAAAATCGAGAATCAAAATGATTGAGAATGAAATTTTCTCTAGTGTTGTTTCTTTCTATCTTATTTTTTTTTTTTAAATGGATGCCTTCTCTGGATATTACGGCTTTTTGTAGTTGGATTCTTTATTTTTTTAGAAATCTATATTATTTAATTTTTCAACTAATGTGTGATATACAGTGTGATATAATTGTACAATAAAACTCTTAATTCTTTCAACTGCAATTTATGTATTCAGCTATAAAGGAGTAATTGGTTCAAAGCCCTGGCCTTGTACATTGCGAGAACGAGAACTTCAATTCTTTCGATAAGGGATTGGGGGTTCTTACGAGCGCAAGTAACATGATTCATCATCTCTTCGCGTAATTTGTTACTAATCAATTAGGGAGCGGGGTTCCGATGATGATTGGGCAATCTTCTTGCGGACCGCGAAAGAGAGCGATAAATCTGTCGCGATAAATTGCGACGGTGCCCTAGCCACGGGTCAAGTAGTTACGATTTAAACTGTGTCGGTGAACGATCGCACGGAAATAAAACGTCGCCCCTTCTCTCTCTCTCTCTCTCTCTCTCTCTCTCTCTCTCTCTCTCTCTTTCTCTCTCTCTCTCTCTCTCTCTCTCTCGCTCTCTCTTTTTCTCTTTATTTCTCTCTTTTACACAATGAGGCGAGAATAGATCTGCTGGAAATATTATGTCTCTTGATGTCTTTTTATTTCCGACTAATTTTTATATGACAATTTTATTTTTATATACAATATGTATAATATGATAAGTAATGCTATATGCGCACGAATTATTAAGCGGCAGATCTATATCTGTTAAATTGACGTCATCAACTAAATCCTTTGTGAAGGACGTGGCGTGTTTTATTGTAACAATATCAATCAATCAATTGGGAATCGCACCTCGGTTTCTCATTCTCAATAGTACTGTCAAAATGCGTGATATCGCGTGGAGAAAGACAGGGATTATTGTATATTAAATAAAGATAAAAAAAAAATCGATTTGGGATGTGGCGAAGCGTGACATCTGCAGGCACTTGATATTTGTCGTTATCGTAGATAAGACAGGAAGTATTCGAAACAATAAGTCTCGAGCTTTTGGCAAACTCGTGAAATTCGTAGGGACCGTAGTGAATTTCTATTGAAACTGTACGCTTTTCCGCTAACTGATTCTAACTGACTTGTAAATTTCCTTTATTTCAGTTATAAACGTAGAAATAAGTTTGCGCGACCAACTTGGAGCGATTAATAACAAATTATTACTGCACTATCATAACGTAGCTATATTATAATATGTGTTTACGATGTTTATGTCTATAACAGTGAACATTTTTGTTAAGAAAAGATTTGTTTCAAATCTGTGAAGAACATGAGACGCGCGAAAGATTAGGTGGTTTTTGAATGAAGTTTCTGAGACGAAACGAAATTATAAGCTTCGTTTGTGTGTTTCGTGCCGTCACTGGGGCCAATAGCCTTTAAGCCTACGTCGAGCCTCATGCCTCGTGTTACGTAACGATTATATTATCTATTGCGACTGCTTACTTAGACTTCCGATAGACGCGACCAGACGCAGCGCGCGTGAACACGTGTGCGTCTGAAGCGTAGCTGCGGCGAGGCGCGCGACTGGAAAAACGGAGAAACCTGTCTGTCACTTCGGAGCCGCTTCAAATTTAACCCCTTTACGCACGCTGCCTTTTCCCTGATAGACGTGCTACGGTCGCAAAACCGGTTTGGCATCGACTATATTCGTATATCTAACGTTAAACGATATTGCTGGCAATGTTTCTATTTTTAGACTGTACTCATACATTAATCGACAGACGTATAAACCCTTTATGCTTGAGGAAGCTATGGATATTAATGATTATCAATTATTGCTCGATATTAAGAGATTGAAAGACATCAATGTTAGATGGAAATGTTTCACGATTGGATAAATCTCGCCCGGCGAACACGAGATGAGCGCGTTCTCGCCTCGAAAGCGCCAGTTATATAAATCAGAGCGAGTTATTTTTTCGCGCGGCCTTTAAAATCACTGCGCTCGATGCCCTGGCTTAGAGATGAAAATAAATGCCAATAAATCGTTCGCTTGCCGAATTTCTGCCGAATATTCATCCACCCTTGCAGCATGACGCGGCGAGTCCGCGCAGGATTCGCTCGTACGCGAAGCGAAGTGTCACCTTAGTGCGCGCGACCAAGAGGTGAGGAATTGATTCGCGGCCAATTGAGCGTGTATTTATATCGTTCCAATTTTCTCACAGTAGCGTGCATGCGATTTTCTAAGCGCACTCTCGAATCTGTCGCGAGTGGTTTCGCGCAACGATCACTGCAGCCGACCGATTATAATTATTATTCCTTCGTTACATAATTATTGTGTGTTTGCGATTTTCCCTTTGAAGTTTGAGCTGTTATTGTGCGAAACGACGGTGATTTCTTTTTTTGAGTAAAAGATCGCCTGTGCTTGTTTCTCAGGTTTGTGCATTTCGTTGAATGATGATAGATTCCGGTTTGAATAAAGCGTGATTTACGTAGTGATTTAAATAGTGACCGCGCTGCGTTTCCCTGCTAGTCACTGTCGACGGCCGATTATAGCTTTCACGATGCCAAAAATAGTTGTCGGGCATACGATAGCAAAGAACAGGGTGAAAGGAAGATATTCCCTGCTCTTTTGTCTCATAAATAGTTACACGCGTCAATAACCGAATATTTTAAAATTCGGATTGTGAATAACGATTCACGTAACGGCGCGTGCCTTGACTCGTGCCACTCGTGCTATTCTTGTCGAGAATACAAAGTTATATAAATCCGAGTAATCTATAATTCTTTTAATTTTTGGATACGTATATAGGGTGTTTATTAAGGTATTTTTGTGTTTTTACGAAGAATTGAAGGCTGTAGTGCGATTTGAGCTGAACTTGCGCGTCAGAATGCTGCACGTGGGTCGTAATGACCGATCATTTGTACTTCCTGCAGCGCTGCTTCGATACGCGCAACATTGTGGCCATGAGCCAATGTTGTGATTCTCGTTACTATTAATGACGAGCTACGTCATTAATGCGTGTTCATTTTTTTGTTTCCCTTTCCTTTTTTATTCCTACTTGTGTACCGTTAACAAACTATTAACGAGCTAACTTTGATTATATATCGCAAACTTGACTCGCGATCGATGAAGTAAAGATGATTAATTATAGGATCATAAATCCTAGATGGCAACAACCGTCGGCAAGACATTATACTAAGAAAAATGTTTAGCGCAATTACATGTGACTAATAATCTCTATTGTTATTTTCTTGAGAAGAAAGAAGATTAATTATTTTTTTAATATCTCACGATCGATACGGCCGCGTGGCAAGAGATCGTTTGCGATGAAAAATTTTGTAAAAATTTGTACATTTCTTTATATTTTATGGTGACAATTAGTGGCATAGACAAATAAAAAAAGGTAGAATTTCAGTTTTTTTAAAACTCCACTCTATTGTATATATCCTATATCGTCAATGAATAAACAATACCGCCTATATGACAATTAGTAAAGTTTTCAGGAGAAACAAAAAACTGAATGATAATAAACGGAACAATCGAAGTCAAAAAGGGCATTTGGAGAAAAATGTCACTTGTAGGCGCGGTATTGTTTATTCACAGACGATGTATATATATGCAATCTCCAACAATATTTTATTCACTTTGCACAGTTCTCACAATCGCAAATCAAGTTGAAATTCGTCGCTTTTTTTTCTAGAACGGCAACTCGGCCAGCGTGCCGGCAGGCCGAGGCAGCGACTCGACCTCGCCTTTGCCCTTGTCGTTAGAGGGTAGGCACGCTGAGGAAGCAGCCGGTTCCACTGTCCTCAAGATGGGCAGCACGGACTCGGCAGGCAACGCCCGCGGGCCCTCCTGTGGTTTGGTCAGCACTCTCCTTCCTAGCAGCTGTCGGGGTAGCGCAGAGGCATTCGCCCGGTGTCTTCATCGACGACTAACGTCGTTAGGTAACGAGAATGGTTCGCCTGAACGGACCGCGGATGCCAAACCTTGTGAAACCTCCTGGCTGCATCCGTCATCGAGCAATCGCCACGCAGTCACCAATAATCTGACCGTCAACAATCAACATTCGATCCTTCAGCATCAGCCGCGTCATAGTCCGGAATCAGATCTCTTCTACGACATCGAGGTGGAAGAGGCGGAAGTGGACGGGCCGGGTTCGCCTCCCGAGGAAGCGACCGCCGCTGAATTGGCGCATCTGCTGGTGAACCCGGAGATCCTGAAAACGGGTCATCACGATGCCTGTCATTGCTCGCCTAGCGGAACCAAGATGACGTCTGGCGTCACAGGTATCCATCAAGATCCTGAGTCCTGCGTGTTTGCATCACCAATAACCGGTACGTCACCCGAAAGTGATACCTCAGAAATGTTCTTCGATCCGGAATCCTCGGATGCAGACAAATCAAAAGCCGAAGTATATTTCGATCCTATCAGCACTTCGGACAGCGAGGCCACGAATCTCTCAAACACTCCCGTTCCCGCGAGGACCAAACTTGCGTCGAACGGACGCAAGCGAACGAACGTGAATCCGGAACGTTGCGAGGACACAACATCCGAATCGAGTTGCTCCTTGAGAAGAAACTCTGCATCTCGCGAGAATGGCCGACAGGAGGGATTGGTCTGCAGCTCGGAAGACTCACTGAACGGCAGAAGCTCTCAGGAAACGACGTCGCCTAGCCACGAGTCTCTGTGGAGCACGTTCGATGACAGCACTGTATCGCTGCAGGATGAAAGTCCAACCAGAACAATTCAGGACTCTGTTGTCCCTCATATCTGTTTGCCTAAGTCGCATTCTGACTCGGAGCTACCAAGTAACGGTATCAGCACAGTAGTGTTTAATAAACTCGACAGGCGGGACGAGGAGGAGGAGAAGGAGGAGGAGGAGGAGGTGGATGAACGTAAAATCGATGAAGTTGATTTCGTTAATAGTATATCGAAGAATGTGATGTGCGATGTTAGGAATGGCAGTCTTTCCATGACGCAAGATGTCAAGAATGATAGTGACCTAACGAAGGATGATTCTTTTAATGATGCTGAAGATATGATTAATATAATTGAAGATGAGGAAAAGAAAGAATGTATAAGATCGGAATGTCAAATGGCGTCGAAGAGTTTGTCGCAATTAAAAGTGGAAGATGTAGCCAGTGACACTGATACCGATCATTCATCTTATAGTAGTACCGTCGACATTTCGGATGCGTTTACATTGGAATATTCGAATAATGCCGCAGTGACCGAGACGACCCCGAGGAACGAGCTGAAGTTAAAGCTCGAGAAGGACACCGCGCTGAACGACAACGACGAGGAGAAACTGTGCCTATTACTGAAGAAATTTGACGGCAGTTCTGCCGCGAAGGGGGAGGATTCTTTGCCGGAACAAGAGACCCAGAGCGAGACGGTAGAAGAAGAGGAAGACAGACCGCAGAGAGTTCGAAGATGTTCCTCGTTAAAGACGGGAAAAACGCCACCGGGTACACCGCACAGGAAGAAGATTGTCCGGTTCGCGGATAAGCTTGGTCTCGATTTGGCCGATGTGAGAACGTTCTTAGACGAGATACCGAAAATACCCACCTCCGCGTACAACGACCTGATCTACGATGACATCTTTCGACCGCAGGACGGCAATTCGGACAACATAGCATCCGTCAGCAATGATTGCTGTGATCATTATCAGAATGATGGCAGGCGCAGATCTACGTCAGTGATACCCAGAAAAGTCGATCGAATGCTGGTGCCACTTTTCCAACAGCCAGGCGGCATGTCGAACTTTCTGGATATGGTGCGTGAGCGCCGGGTTTGCTTGGAAAATGTAGTTGTACAGGACCCAGTGACTCTGGCGATTCAGGGTACGGTGCGTGTAATCAATCTCGATTTCCATAAGTCTGTACACGTGCGATACACCATCAACTCTTGGCGAAACTTCAGCGACCTACAGGCGATCTATGTACCTAACTCGTGCGACGGTTTCAGCGATAAATTCTCTTTTATCTTGTATTGTCATACGTTAATGGTCGGTCAAAGGCTCGAGTTTGCAGTCCGGTTCCAATGCAAGGGCGCGCAACATTGGGATAACAATGCCGGTGCTAATTACTGCTTCCAATGTCTGCCAGTGTCGTCATCAACCGGATATATACCGATCACCGCCGATGATCGGCGCGGAAGCTGGGCACCGACGTTCTACTGATGAACATCCAGAGCATGCGTTTGTCTGATTCGATGACGTGACAACGTGGCTCCGGGAACACAAACTGACTGAAGAGATTGTTGAAGAGGCTAACGGTGCGAGCTTGCGGTACTCGACGGTTTTTACACGTTCCTAAATAAGTGCTTTGTAACGAAGTGTGCAAAACGGAACATTCGGAATTCATTACTGTTGTTCGTTGCTTCAGGGAGCTCTCGAAAAGTTTTCGGCATACAATATGGCATATATTGATCTTCGCAAAGATATCGGACGTCAAACATTATTGGAGATAATACTATTTTGAAAAGAAAAATTGTAGTGCAATAGCAATTTTTTTCAAACGGCCAACTATAGGAATAGTAACGAGTGAAAAACATTTGACTGTGGATTATGGGAACAACGATTTTATTGTTACGATCAATTGTCTTTGCAATGAACAGATGGAGTTGCTCAATTATCAAACGATTCTAATGCTTTTCATTGAATTTATTAATTGATTTAGTATCTTGGAGGCAAAAAAATCACACACGCAAACACGTATATACGATGTGAATTAGCAATAAAATGTGAAAAATGTCGTATGTTTAGACACACATGAGGCATTTAAGCCTGCTTTTCTGCCCACAAAATAACATGGATTAATCTATTTTCAAGAAATACTAAAGGATTATAATAATTTATGTTAACATCAGACTGCTCTGTCAATAGACAAATATATTTTCTTACTTTCCAAAGTCTCTTTTCACGAAAGTATTTTCTGAGAGATTGCGGAAAGTATTTCTGCCTACATAGTTTGTCTTAAACTGTATTTATTAAGCCGATGGAGATTATAAAAGCTGGAATCCTTTCAACGAAACAGAAAACGAATACTCATCTGGGAGTTCAAAGCTGTGAAATAGGCTAATACAATTGACAGGAAACATTAAGAACAAATAGACGGTTTAAGCGTTCCTATGGAGTATCTATGCAGAGTCTATGTCAGAGTTAAGAATGAGAGATCATTTATTTGATTGCATGAAGGAACTATCGCACGTGGCCGCGATTTTATTAGCGTTATCCAGTACAATGACGATATAGATGATAATAAAACGAATGCTGATATAATGATATTAGTTCTTGTTAGCGACATCGTACGAGTTTAGAGATCATCGTAGAGAGGATAGATGTTCCATAAGATATTACATTAGAGACATTTATATTTCTTCTACGGAATAATGTGTTCGGTATTGACTGGAACGTTTGAATAAAACGTGCGATTTAAATTTAATCGATGGCTTTAAAGATATATCAATATCTTGATTTGATACAACAAATATTTTAACACTTTTCAATCGTCTATTCTCTTTGCCAAATATCGAATCGATTTACCCTGAAAAGAAATTAGTTTCTATATTACTTAATGTCGAAAAGTAAAAAATTTCTAAAAAATAAAAGAATAATATATGTACAAAAATAAATGAGCTGGAATATTAACTAAACGTTATTTATATTCGTTTTTGCAAATGGCACTTTTTAGACTGATATTTTATCGTGGTGGCGAGACATAGTGTATAAAAGAAGAGTTCCACTTGAGAACGCATGTGTTATTTTGTACATATATTATATATGCATACGTGTGTACAGGTAGCATCAGTATTGGTGGCAGGCATGTTCTTTATTGTCTAATTTTTCAGCGTAACGTTTATATTAGTTACGTGAAACTAATATAACGGAAATTGTTATTACTTTTATTGTCGTATTATTATCGATACAATTCTTGTACATATCAAAATATCTTTTTCGCGCACCGAAAATGTGTGTGGCGTGTGCGGATGGACTTCGCGGGTACTTTTTGAAGTATAAATCTTTTGATAGATCTTTTCTAATTTTATACTTGATTGTATCTCCTCTTTGGATGCAATTGACTGCACGCCTTTATTATACGTACGTGACTTCAATCCTTTATGCAGTCCTGTACTATATTTTTGCGATCGCGAACGAGAGTATAAATATTTTAACAGCTTTATCAAATTTTATTGTTATATGCTTTTCAGATGTATTTTTCTTTCGTATTTTAATAAATAAGTCACTTTATTTAATTATACTTAAAAAGTGATGATAACATTATTATTGGTTTATTATTTTGTTATTTGTTTCATTATAGAAAATTAAATATACGCTAAACAAATATGTTAAAAATAAAATTATAATAACAAAACTATTTTATTGTTTTATTATTATAATTTTACGCGTATATGAGTTTAAACCGTATATGTTTTCAATGTCTCAGAGTATCTGTTGCTGTGAGCTTTTTATAAATTTTTATCTTATCTTCTCCAATTCTTAATGATGTTTTTTTCCTGTATATTCAATCTCGGAATTAACGATTTGTTGCATAAATCATATTTTTCTTATAACACCAATTTACACGATAAAAGTTAACTACCGAGTGATAGATGCGACCACCATTATTGAGGCGTGCAATATGTACACACATGAAACAAACCAATAACTTTATTGTTAGACAATTTTGCCTATAGAATTGTTCGGCATCTGGTGTATTTATAAACTTAAACTCTTTAGCAGAATATTCTGTGTATAATATGCGTTAATAAAGCAGGATAAAGTAAGGTGATTTAGAAATAGAAAATTTGACAGTTGACAATTTTTCAAATTGAATTCTGCATTTTTGAATAAAATTTTAAATGTTTTTAAAGTTTATTTGCTGCATATTTCGATTATTTATAAGGTCTCTTCATATACTTATTAAGGAATCTCTTTTTATATAAATTCCGTGTAGTATTAAGAGTAGACCTTGTCTTTTTTTTATTTGAATTTTATACGATAATCTAAAATTAAAAAAATATCAAAATTAAACAAATGTTTTTATTTCACAGCAATATTGCGTCATAACGAATTGAAAAAATTTACTGTTGTATATTATCACATAGATAAAAGCAAACTTTTATATGTTTTGTATAAAGACACTTTTGTATAAAGAAAAGTTAATTCGAAATATTATTAAATTATCTTATTTTATCCTGTATATAAATATATAACAATGAGTGTTTTAATAATAATGCAAAAATATACTATATCGTATGTTGATAAGTACTGTTATTTATGAAAGGTGTATGTTATTTACAGAAGTAAATTACTAGAGGATTGTGAGAACTAATTATAAGAAAACCGCACACAACATACACTTCCAGTAAACATTTGCGAGAAAAGTTACAGTTACAAAGTTAACAATATTTTCCTAAAGATTGTTATCAACAGTCCTCACCGTTATCAACATGCAATTATACTATGTAACCGGGTTTAGCAATAATTAAGTAATTAGAATTAATAATAGGGAAGATTGAAATTATTATATATTTTTCGACCACCGAATTAATTTTGTTATAGTCCTTTCCTGTGCGAAACATGTCGAAAAGAATGGACCGAGTTGCAACGACTACATATATCAACTTTATTAATACTTTATCTGGGTTTTTGTATTTTTATTTTGTATCATTTTAACGGGCTATAAGATTGATGATTATTGATGATTATTGATGCATGAACTAATCGCCATCTTTTACTTTATTTATGTTATTTTAAGATATATTTATATTTTGAAATCGAGAACAAGCTATATTCTTTTGCGATTTGAAAGTAAAAGGATATATGTATATCCTATGTACGTACGTGCGATTGCAGTTGCTTCCTTCTTTTTTTAGATCGCAAATTGTTCTCATATTGAGAAAATACTGTCACTTTTGCTTGTTATGTCGGAATACTCATAATAATGTCTTCGATATGTACAATGTAACTACATTAATTAACAGTAACAGGCCTACGAGAAATCATTTAAAATAATGACAACTCTTATTTCACAGCAATAGAGAGAAAAATTGAATACATATATGGAGGGGTAAAAACCACAGTGGTGTAAGTCAAATTTTTTTAAATATTTTCTCGTGTACATAGATGCAATTTATATATAGATATATAAATATATATATAAATATATTATATTGTACAGATTGCATCTATGCATACGAGAAAATATTTTAAAAAATTTGACTTACACCACTGTGGTTCTTACCCCTCCATATATATATATATATACTTTTTTAATTTGTTATCTAACCATTTTAAACGCCTGATTTATATGTAGACGAAGATTTCTATCGATTTTTTGGCCATTTCTAAGCGAACATATTGTTTACGTGCGATATAAATATCGTGGAGAAAAAAGTTGTGCGTGAGAAGCACAATTGTGATATACATATGCGATTAAAGCGATTTACAGTACAATACATTCTATGACAAGTCTAGACGAAGAAGCGAGGAAGGATACTCGGGAGATTTGGTATGTAGCCGGCGTATATGTAGGACGAACTATTTTGTTAGTCTCCCCTCTATATGTGTACGTTATCTTAATCGCTTCGTAACTTTAAAGGCGTCGGTCTCGGACACAGAAGAAAGATCAGGGAACATTTTTGGCAGCTTCACTCGTGTTGCGAATACTGTTGCGTGTTTGGCAATTTATCAAGATAAAAGTCTTATGATGTCACGGATAATGGAAAACAAATTGATGAAAGAAGTCAAGGCATCGATAGTTATATAATTGTATAATATTATAAAATATAGACTGTTAGTCAATTAGATTTCGAGAATATAACTGAATAATGAACTTTGGTTTTCAGTGAATTTTGATTAATTTAACAAGAATTAAACTTGAGATTTTATTGTTGAAACAATGATGACTTTTTACAAAGCTAGACCTTAGTTTGAATTTGCCAAAGGATTTGTGGCTAGAAGGATCTTATTTCAGGCGGAATAGTCTAATTTCAAAATTTCTGAGTTTCTTTTATTTATAATAGCGCGATCTTTGCAATTAATTGCATTAATTGAAGCGAGAAAATTGTAGAAATTATTTATCTTTATGTAATTTTGAAAATTGCACGTTGTCAGTGGCAAATATAATATACAAACTTTATTAATTAATTTAATAAATTAAAATTAATTAAGAAAGAAGATTACAGAAAATTGCATTAAACTATTCTGTATCTTTATGTTCTTATCTAAAAATTGCAAATTTTCAAATATGAACGAGACATACGAGAGAGCGTATATCAGTACCGTCCATATATTATCATCCGTCCTATCCAAACATTTCTAGATCAACAACATTTAGTATTAATTATGTAGAAAACCTAACAGATATCTAATTTTTATAAATACACAACTGGCGTATGTTGTTGATAAGAACGTATGGATCGATGGAAAATATGCCTGAACATTTGTCTAATTATTATATTATTATTTGAATCATGTCTTTTCGCAAGTACTTCTATGTCCAAGACAGCGTCAATTAGTATTGTAGTCCAAACTATAATATATTTTTCTATGTAAATATATGCTGGAATGTGTCGAGCCACCGAATTTTTTGTATCGTCGAAAACGCGAATATTATTTATGTTATTAAAAGAAAAAAAGATGTAACAACTGAAATGACTACATTAATACGTATTAACACCGCACCTGTCTTTATATATTTTCATAATCACAATACTTGATTCTATATTTATCACAAATTTTTCCTGCAATCTATTTGATGTATAACAAAGTATGATTGACACTGATGAGTGACACTTTATTGTCACTCTTCCCATTACTGATGAATTTTTATTTTTTACATTAATACATTAATAAATACGTCTTAATAGAAATCGAATATGCGTGAATAAAGGCTGAATGCTATGAAGAAGCAAACTATATATACTGCATATACGCAGACACATATTATATACGATATATTTGTATATATATAACATTTGTTCTCCATATATTATTAAAATAATAAATAAAAGATGATTTCATAGCTTCTTTCTTGTTCTACGATCAGGAAGATCTAATTTTGCACCTTTTAATCTTATTTAAGATGTGTCTAACTTTAAATAGTAAAGTCACATTACGTATCCAAATTATAAATGCTAAATAAAATTTATATTATCTTATTCGTTATTTTAAGAAAATAAAACGCATACACACAAATGTCGCGGTTCGCGTGATGCGCGTGTTTGAATCTTGTTTTAGATTCTCAAAATAAAAGTAACGCTAAGTATAGTTTTGAACTTCTGGTTGTGTCGCCGGATGTGAAGGTGTGACTTGGCACATACTCTTCATTTAAACGATAAATGCTGCATACAGACTTTCAACACGAGAGATCGAGTTAACATTTATAGTATTTAAATATCTAAACATTCTTCAATATTAAAAAGATCAGATTTTGTCGTAGATATTAATCGTCAACTAGGTGCGACATTTTAATAACGTTAACGAATAATTAAACAGGTGAGATAATTTAATAACAGGAGAAAAAAAGTGATTGTTTCTTTTCAAATGGCAGCGTTTTATTCCAAATAATCGTGAGTCGATGAAAGTACAAACGTATTTTTCTCTTACAAAGCGATATATATTCTATAATCGTTACCCTGTACATTTCTCTCTGTGATCATAAACACTTCGCGATAAAAAAATATCATGGTTTTCTCAGTCTTTGCGTTCATACGTCGTTCATACGTCGCCGGCGAAAAAAATCATCGTAAACGCTATTGATTAACATTCCTACAGTGATAAATGTGCCTGCAACTTGCATATGTAACTCGTGTGGACGTCTGATAAAAAAATAGCAACATGACGTCTGATCGCAAGTGATCATTCGGCATTTATTGAGAGTGTCCCTATTTCTGGATTGCGCTATACATCCACGTCATAGCAAGCTTCGTGTAAAACGGTAGATTATTTTTTACCAGAACTTGCAACTCCACAAACATTTTGCTAAATGCACGCAAATTATTTTCTCTTTCTTTAATAGTTATTTTTTAATTACATTTCTATTAAATTCTGTTATTAGACTCATCGTATCATAAGTCTATCAAGATTCTTCTAAATACGTCAAACTTGGATCATCACATGACTTTCAAATTATCTTCTTCTTGATCTTTTATGTCATGAGATAATCGTTGTACTAAAAAATTTGATAACATCGTAAGATTCTCTTCATATTACATTAATTACATCAAAATTTTCTTAAATGCATGGAACTAGATCATCACAGTGGTCATGCGAAGAATTAATTATTCTCTTTTTGTCTTTGCTGTCATGGAATCATAGTTAAAAATTCGATGTCATGAAATTCTGTTTCTTCAGATTTCCTTCAACTTTTCCTGAAGGTACTCTGTGTACATATAAGTAGGATAGGATCATTGCCTTAATTGCGAAAGAAACATGCAATTACATATTTTCTTTGTTTTTAATTCGTATAGGATAGTTATTGTAATCGAATCTTCGATAAAACGTCACTATTTTTTAATTTCGGTAGTCGTTATTCAAAGTAGCCGTTATTAAAATTTCGATTTCAATAATGTTATGATGACTGTATAAATAGAACACAGTCTGTCATATTAATCTGAGTCATTAGTTAAAAAATTATTATTAATTCTTGTATAAAATAATTAATTTTTTTGCACCATCTGCAATTTAGTATTTAATGATTTTCGTAAATCACTATTATTCAAAAGCAGTTATCATTCTGTCATAAATCGTTATCAAATCACTAATACTAATCAACGCAGTTGATTGGCATTGAAATGTATCCTTCTTCGTAATGTCTGTTACGCATCTTAATAATTGCTTTCGCATGATAACAGATAGAAATTGTCCTTTTCAGAGAGCGTTTGCAATTGCGAACTACGGAACATTTGATCGCAATTTGAGAGCTCTGTATTGTCTATAAAGTCGCTGTTTGCAGAATTGGTAGAATTCGACCTCGCGGGTAAAGTTGCTGCGCACCAAGTTCTTCACTTCCTCGCTGACTGGCGGTTTAAAAAAGTTTCGATTGATCTTCATAAAGGAATTTGCTTGATCTAAAAAAAATTGAAATACATAATTATACGGTTAACGTAATAATCTGACTCTAATAATTTACGATTGTAACGTAATGTTTAAAATTATTATTGCGTATTAATAGCAATACATACATATATTTAAAAATAATTATAGAAATACATATATATATAATTATTTTTACAATTTTTAAAATATTTGAGTTTGACCAACACATTCGACCAATTATACTCATAAAAGATATTACAATTAATAAATGTAGATGTTTGATCAAGAAGATTAAGATTGATCAGCAGATAATCAAAGGCTTACCATAGTAAACGTCAGTAGCTCCCTGGAAAAATCGTGGTATGTAGTTTTCCAGTACCGTGAGAGTTGTATTTATGTCTTCTAAGACGCCAACTACCGCGTAGTGCTTTTCCACCGCCAACTTGGCTCGCTCCAGGGCACCAACGGTATTAAAAGGACTTTCGGAAAAGAAGTATATGTTAGATTTGTTAGAATATCGCACTTGTGCATTCTCCATAATAGTTATAAAAATATTATTATAACTTTTTAATATATATATATGTCAAAGGTCATTATATACTATTTAAAATGTATTGCAATATAAAATATTTTATATTGCGGATTTCGATTTATATACAGTTGCAAAAAACAATTTCTTGATATTTTGCGAACAAATATTCTTACGTGCATTTCTCGCTGTGTCCACAGAAGAAGAGAGTTTGTCTGCGATGATCGCCGATACCCTCGTGAATCTCACCCTCCAAATATCTGCACTCTCGATCGCCTTTTAATACGCACGACTCAAAGTCCTTCTTGAGCCAATTGGGATCAGGCAACGGTAGATCCGGAAAGATCTGCTTCCTCTCCACATAGTACCACGGGGCTCTTACATAATAATACCAGGATATGACCCTTTCCACGGGATCGCGTACTATGTTGATATAAATCGGCTCCGGTAGGTGGAATCTGACGAAGAAGACGCAAGAAAGTAGAAAATGGCGGTAGCAATCATTTAAATTGCCAAGGCTAATCTCACTCTGTGGCACTCACTCTGTGAAGTTAGTAAAGCAGACGTGCTTCACGTAAACAGACGGTTCCGAATAACTGCTGACCATCCTGGCGAGATGTAGCTGAAAGCATGAAGAAAATTAAACTAAAATTATATACGATCTGTACAGCCTGCAATATCTTTTTAGAAGGATATTGCAAAAGAAATTAATCTTCCATTATTATATTTTCATTATTGTGATGAGCTTGTAATAAACCCCCTAAACAGGAAATAAGATTTTTCAACAAGGATCAATGTTGACTTCAAACGTCTCTTTTAGTTTTTCTATAAATGATGAAATATCTTTCTAATATCTCTTGATACTTGTTCGCAAAATTTCACATCTCTTCTTTTATACTTTATTCAGCGATATCTTCTTCTGCTGCTCTTTTTCTCTTTCCTACTTTTTTCAAGATGAGAAAAACCAGAGCAAAAAAAGAAAGAGAAATACGGAAAAGATAAAACCGTTAGCGGTTGAATCTTTGAATCGGTCAGTATCGTCGTATTTTTATATCACCTTGTAGGGCTCAGCGGTGACGGGATTGTAAATTAAACTGGTAATTACTACGCGAGCGGCTGCCATCGCGCGATTGATGGTAATTGATTGGGTTTTCTTGTTGGAGGTCGTCGTACCTGCTCGATCGGCGCGAGACGTATAGTTTCAACTCGCTGGACACGGTCCCTGTTGAACGAAAATGCATTCCTTATCGATAGCCTCCTCAACAGCTCCATAAAGGTCTGTGAACCGACTTTCGGCACGCGATTGAAGAACAAGACCTCTCGGCCGGCCTTCTTCGTGTTGTTGAGAGCGTCAATGTCGAGCGCTTCTCGATCCTCGTACTAAAAAAGAAAAAAATTGTAACGGTCAAACGGTGCATCCGCGTTAATTATTATCATATTGTCGAAAAAGTCGAATCTGTGACCTAAATCAATATAATTTTCCTTATATTTGTTTGCGGTCAATTAGGATCACACGTAAGCGCGCGCGTAACTTTTCTACATTCGATCCTCTATATAATACATTTCTACATTTCTCTCTGGGATCTCAATAATAGAGTTAAGAATGTCGGGAAATAATCAAGTATTCGTGAAACATCTGTGAGCGTCAGAGGAATCAGGATGCAGGATGCAGGGGGAATGTTGCGGACGCGAAGTGCAATTTACGAACGACTTTACCCGCTCATTTTCGGCGCTCATCTGTCATTATCGGCGGGCTGCCCGTTCTCCGCGAAAGAGAGAACATATTGTTCCAGGCGGAACGTCCGATTCCCTCTCGTTAGATAACGATTCGTGTTATTAGCAAGTCATTCCTCGGCATAAGGCGAACGAAGGTAAGACTTGGCTGTAAGCGCAAGTGCAAGTACGAGGCAGCTGCCTCGCGTCGCGAATTGCGATACCCAGCGGCGTGCAGCGCGCGGTAATAAGCGGCCCGTTCTCTCGTTCGCATCGCATCTTCCGTGTATATTTTTATCACCAGCACTTACATCGATCGGGCGTTTCTTTTTTCTCCCCGTCATCTACGCGTCGCGCACTGCATGCTAATTTATCCGTTCGGCGCGTGCATCGTGTGGCACGTATCATCGCGAAACTTAGCGCCTATACATCTATACATATGTATGAGCAAAACTGGAACTGTGTATTACTTCCTCGTCTCGCAGAAGAAAGAAATGAGAATATAAGAAGGTGCGATTTACATTTTCTTTCTTTTTTCTCTTAAAAATTCCCTGTCACTGATGGTTGTCGGTTTTCTTGCAATGTGTCGCAACGGAGAGATCGACGAAAGCGTGCGGATTTAAATTTAGAATACTGCAATTTAGCATTTGCTAGATCTTAGGTGCTTTCGAGTAAATAAAATTTCTGAAGATCGTTGAAGATTCTTTTACGTGATTCACACCATTATCTCTTTCTTTGTATATTCTTTTCTTATCTAGCTCTGATTACTCTGATACAGCTTATTCACGCTACATCGTGCAAACAACGCGTAATGCAAGTAGGTCGAATTCCCGAACAATTTACCGGTTTAGAGGAAATACGTTATGCGCACGTGTAACGGATGGGTCTTTAAGAAGGTCATCTAGCATCTAGTGATACATAGTAATGTAACATGTAACTGATCGTACGATATTGGCCTTGATCGGTACGATCTTAATAGTTTGACAAGACAGATAATAATATGAGATAACAAACGAGATATTAATAAAAATATAATGTTTTATTCATTTGTAATTGAAATAAAATTATTATTTATTGAAGCTAATAATTATTTATTAACACTTTTATCAGTCTCAAGATTTTCTTCTATGTAGAATTTTATTATTAGAAAGGATTAATAATTATTAAATAATTATTCGCGATATAAAGTAATAAATGCGCTAATTACCTTTCCCACGAGGACACGTTGCACATTTGGGTAATGGATGATACCGTTTGAATCAGAATCTGTCTGGATACCATCTGAAAACAGATAAAAGTTTTAAACAATAGTTAAAATATTTTAGTAATTAAATCAATAAACAACGACGTGAAGATTATAAAATATTAATAAAGGATTTATGAAAGATAAAAGTAATTATTAAAAATCATTTTATTGCCGATTAAAAAAACAATAATCGACTTTGGTTTGTTTCCGTTTACACAAAATGAGACTGCAATTTTTTCTCTGCTATTGCGGAGAAAACCGCGACGGATTTGTGTCATGTCATTCGGAAAAATAACTGCCGCGCCGGAAGAAGATAAACTTCGTTTAACGTTTGATGGACGACCCTGTCGCGCAAGTTAGCGAATGCCGAGATTCTTGCTTCCGCTGTGACGATCACGCGGAAAATTGCGTACATAACGACGAAATCTTCTACGAATGCATAGCTTTACTTAGAATTCATGTAGATAGTTCATACAGTTCCACAAAAATTCTTTGTTGAATTTTTTCTACTACTTTTCTGCAACCTAGCAATTTAAAGCCCCGCGTGATATTAACAAAGAAAAACCGGAACATCGAAAATTTCCGAGAGGCATAAACGAATTATTCGATGCATTAAACTGTGATTATACATGTTAGAAGACGTACGATCTATTCGACATCTTAATTCTTTTTACACTTGTCTGTAGTCATAATACTTTCACTCATATGTCAAACATTTTCCAAAACTTAAAAAATATTGCCAATTAAAAATTACCTGTGTTAACTATTATTACTGGCAAAGCAAGGTCATTGCTTTTAGTAAAATAATTATTTATATCTTATAAGACAAAAACAGGTGATAATTGTTGATTCTTAAACAATTTCCCAGGTTTATTCTTCCTTACGGTTTTGCAAACTCGCACTTGTATCTTTGATGATGTATTCCGCGAATGTTGGCGGATTGTTTGCTGACGTGACGTGCGTGTAGATCTGTATCGTGCTTTTCCCAACGCGTGCGTACAGTTGAAATTCGGTGCGGCCGCGGCGGCGGCGTATGGAATAAAAGCTGCGCCGGAAATACCGTAACAAAGTTCCGCGCGATCCGTTACACGTGTACGGAACATGCGTCGAGAAGTTATTTAGCCAGCAAACTTACGCGATTGTTCGCTCGAAACGCTGCGGACATTGATGGATAAGTTCAAAGCTCGGCTGCTCGACGCGGGCAGTTTAGTACCGGTAATTAGCATTCTGATTACGTTGCCTCAGCACGCGCAGAGCATTGTCGAGATCTATGTGATGCAAGAACACAAAAAGTATGATTTGCGCGCCACGTTTCCTGGTAACGATTCAATTAATGAATTATGAACAAATTGTCTCGAGCTGGTTGATCAAGGAAGCGATGAGATGTATTATCGCACAACGTGATCGATCGTTGCAACTCCGTGGAATTCATTAAGACGCTTAGAAAGTATAAGTACGACTCCGGGCTCCGGGCCCTTGTTAGCGCACCCCGGAATCCTTCGGACGTAAGTAGCAGTCGATTGTGCATGAGTACGCGGATAACGAGAACCTCACGATGGATAAATTGGCGATCGCGCGTGATTAAGAGGTCGCTGTGAAACTCGGCCAAGATCAACGATCTGTGGAAGGACCGGAATCGAGGTCCTCCGTAGGCGACCGTGGTCATCTCTAGAAAGTTACCGCTTCCCGTCGAGAATCGAGCTGCTCGAGAGCATCTCTCATGCGCGCGGAACGAACGCGTCAAACGCGTGACGGAAAAAGGTATAGCGCGCGCGCGCTCCCGCTCCCAGCAATGCGCCTCTCCTATTTTTCTTTCTCTACGTCTCTCTCTTTCTCTCTGTGTTTCTGCCACGATGCAGCCAACTGGAAATGAGATCTTGTTCCGTGCAAAGCCGGTCGATCGTTCTATATACTTTGTCTTTGATCGACGCGACTAATCCGATTCTTCCGCTCAATCAAATCCGGATCAACTCGAGTGAAACGCTTAATGCAATGCGCGTTTGATACAAGGCGTTTTTAAGAATCAATTCATATGCATTTTCTCCTTCGGAGACCGATTATTATTTTATCATTCAAGTGTTGAAAAAGACGCTGTGAAAATGTCAAGCGTTTAAAACACTTTCTTCCTAATTCTCTTTCAGTGTCATCTTATTAATTAAATATAATGATGTCATGCACGCTATCAGAAAGTTTCATGGGATCTTGGACTTCTTAGAGCGATATCTCGCTGAAGATCAAAAAGTGACGACAAAATTAACATCTTATTGACCGGAAATTAAATTCAACAGAACGCGCGAAACATTTGTGCGGAAAATGTAGCAGCAAGGATTCAGTTGGGATCGTACAAGAGATAAACGTGTAAGCGGCTCCTCTCACGATCGCATGCGCAGTAGATGCGGTCGGTTCGTGGTTCGTGATCAGACTGACAATAGCACCCGCGGCGCGGGCGCGGGCAGCTTCTTGTGACCTCACGCAACACAAGGGAAGCCGACAGAGGCGATTATCGATGGTACTTTTCTCTCTCTCTCTCTCTCTCTCTCTCTCTCTGTTTCTTTAGCCCTTTTTCTTTGTCTCCTTTTTAATCCCTTTCTTCTTTTGCATAACCACGTGAGTCGGAGTCAGCTTATCGTAACACTTTAAACGGATAGTTCTCCAGGCGTAGACTTCCGATTGACGCGCGCCGCAGCTGCAACTCACAGCGACTCGCGTACAATGCCGATGAGTTATGCACAAGATTGGTTCACGATACCTCTGTGCAATAACGGTTTCTATCGGCATTGTACTCTGCCTGTTTATAAAACTACGTCTCAGATAAAATCCAAGTTGTGGGTGCATACTGCGATAGCTATAATTAATTTTGTATTAGCTTGTTACCTATGTTATCATGATTATTGTATATATTGCAATACTGTACAGACAATAGCAATATTGTACGATAACCGACAGCAGTGACGAAGTACTTGTTTTGTTTAATATTTTCCGTGGCATTTCGCATATCCTGTATATTTCTTAAAATAGTTTAATGATGAAAAGTATCAGAGACTGATACATAATATTAGAAACTGAATCAACAATTTTTCGATAACAATATACAGAGTGTTATTCCTCATTAAACTTAAAAGATTTTTTCTTAAAAAAAATTGTAAAAGAAAATATTATTCATCGTTATACATATATCTCTGGACTGATTCAAGCCCGCAGCACTTCTGTGTAAGATTTTTTCTTCTCTTGACAGTAACTCGGCGGTGCGACGCGCTTCATCGATTGTAATGCATTGCGCAAATTGAAAATTGTTCGATGGTGTATAATTACGACGGCCAATAATTATCGTGCTTGCACACGCATCAGCGGCCTTTGACCGCACCCCGCGGTTCGCGACGCCGCGCCGCGCCGCGCGCCGGAGGATATAGCGGCTAATCGGCGACTGCGAGCTTCGTGACCGATACAGATGCAAGTTTAATGGACGGACAAGACACCGCCGCGCGCCGCGTCCGGAACTGCACGCTCGCCGGGGGCACCGCCGGCCGCGGCCGCAGCGTAGGCGTAGGGGGCTTTATTCACGTCATTCACAGCTTAAGACATAGCCGGCGACGCTCGCAAAAAACCGTCCGTTGCATCTCCCGATCGTTGATCTTTGGCCGCTGGAACGAGAACGGCTCTTAGCTCCTTATGCTCTATCCGTGGCGCTCTATTATACAAAATGTTAAACTACTAGCGTGTCCAGGCCTCGTGTATATGGACCGTTGTTTCTTATGAAACTTTCTTGGAGAGAGTTGGGGACTAAAAGATGTGACAGTTTTGTTAGCGATCTTTTCAGTTGATGCTTTTTCAGTTTACGTCCTACGGAAAACTTTATTTTATTATTTTGTAACGGAAGAAAGTCGGAAATGATACCATAGTATATAAAGATAAAATTATTAAGTACCTGTATAATTTGGAACTTTGAAATGTATAACTATATATGTAAACAAGAGTCCAACATTGCCGTTACTTTTTAATGACTGTTTCCACGTGTCTCTGCGAAGGAAAAAGCAATGTAAAAGATGTCAGATCCTGGTAATTTTTGGTTTTTATTTGATTAATACAGTTATGTTACAAAATAATTAAAGGTTTGCAACCACAAAAATAATACGAATAAGAACTCAGCCTTTACAAATCCTCGTATACATCATTTTTTCCACATTTTAATTTTATATCTATCCGGTGGAACAACCTAATTCTCTCGTAATTTAACGCCGTGTTTATTGCATAAAGGAATAATTTCACATCCCATAAACGATAAGCGGTAACAATTAATTTTTATTTTTATATTACCCTTCAATTATGATACATCCGTATGTATGTATTTATTAATCTATATGCCAATTGTGGCTTAGGATGGTTTACATTATTACATAGTATACTTTGTTACACAGTTACACAGTTACATACATACATAATTACATAACTACATAATTGCATAATTACATAGTTCCCCCATTTGTCTTACAATATTCCACAACAAAACATCCTACTAAATTCTCGAACTTATTACAATCAATTACCACTAAATATATATATAATCTTTTCTTATTCCCATTTCCCCTTTTATTTGATATACATATATACAAGCCCCTTCGTTTACGTGTGGTCTCTCAGCCTCTATTTCTTCTCTTCTCCTCTTATTTCTTCTTCTCATTGCATCCGTATGTATATGAATCCTTTTAATATCTCGGACATGACATGATATATATACATATACATTCACAGTTTAGAACACATGCGACTTATTTTGTATTATTCTATAAAAGATAATTTGATTTGAATATAGGATTAATTTAATAATATATTAACAATTATATATTTTTATTACGGTTCATTTAAGATTACTTGTACTAAGAAATGATTATCAATAAATACCAAACACTATTATTATGAATATTTTCAAAATGACGTTGAAATTGCTTTGTGATCGAACCGAAACGTTCAAGCGCTGTTTTTAGCGCAATTGCAACTTAAATGAACGTTTTGCTTCAATAAATTTAGAACTGTGACT